TGTGCCAGGCACTGTGGTGCTTTGTCTTCACAACTCTGGGAGGTAGGTGCTGTTGTTATTTCCCAAACTGAGAAAGACAGACACTAAGTGACTTGCTTAGGGACACACAGCTGCATTTACACTCAGGTTTGAGGCTGGATTTGAACTGGGGTCCTCCTGACTCCAGGCTCTTCCGATCTGGGGCTCCCTCTAGCCAGCATCGTACCAGGCACACAAAATCATCCCCAGCCACCTAGGAGGAGTGGGGGGAAGCAGGAGTGTCTTTCAGGACACCCCAGTCAGGAGGGAGGGCTGTCTTCTTCCTCTGCGTCTTCCAGCCACCCTGAGCACTCGAAGCTTTATTTCACATTGCTCAGGTCCAATCACACTGGCCCTGGCCTGGTCTGTCCTTTGGCTCCCTTCCAGGCTCAGCCCAGATCCTTCTCAGACTCCCACTTGTTAGTGTCTGATGATCTTCTCACTGCTCTTGGGTCCCTCACACACCACTTGGAGTAGGCTCTTAATCGATGTTCTTTTGTTCTTTTCTGTTTTCCTATCCTGTGTCTAGGTTCCTATCTCCTTGGCGGCCTTAAAATGTCACAACAGCACAGTGTATTGTAGGGTTGGGTTTTTTTTTTTCTTTTCTTCGATTGAAGCAGGGATTTTCATGGATGTGGTAGCCCCAGCCGAGGAAGCCCCCTCTGTTAGCCCAGGACCGTTGGAAATAAAGAGTTGCCTGACTGTCTCTTAATAGGACTCCTGCAGGGTCAGCCAGCCAAGCCTGTCAGATAACCTTGGACTCCAGGTCTTCCTGACTCAGATGGGCCCTGTCCATTCCTTCACTTGCCTGTTGTCTGGTGACCATGTGAATTGTCAAAGCTCTTCCCTGCAAATTTTTCTGAAACTGGGAGAGGTGTTTTTGTGTGTGTGAGTTTGCTTTTGAAAGGTGGGGAGGGGCAAGGTTATTGGAAGACAGCACGAGTTAGGGCTTGGAGCACTGCATTGGAGGGATGGAGGAAGAGAAATGTTTCTTTTCTCCCTGGGCTGGCTTGCCTGAGTCCCAGCTCTTGCCTGGTTTCCTCCCTAATCTAAGTACTGTAGCAGCAGTCTGCCCGTTGTGGCCATTACCATTATCCAAAGCCCTTGTGAGCCCTGGCTTCCTTCCCAACTTCATTTTTTAGTGTGGAGTGAGGGCAGCCTCCTTTTTCTCTTTGCCCATTTCCCTACCTTGCTTGCTTGAGAAAGGAGATGGATAGACCTGTCTCCTCTTATTCCAGAACTGCTTCATTCAGCTTTAGGAAGGAAGAAATAACCCAACAAGAGAAATGTACGTGTCTTAAAAGTCTCTGCTTCTGCTCCCTTTGACTGGACCTCCCGTTGGTGGTAGGAGTGGGCCACTGGAAGGTCCCTCACTCACTGCAGTCCGGAGTTGCCACCTGGACAGGACACAGCAGACTTGGGAGCATCATCACAGTGTTGAGCATTCATGACTGGTTGAATTTGATCCCAGGGCACCGAAAGACCCATGGAGAATAAGGAGGAGGTGGTCGAAAACAAGGGTGGAGGGCTGATAACCTGACTTTTTAAAAAAAGGGTGGTGGGGGTGGGGGGGAACAATTAAAAAAATGACAGATCATGGAACTTGATGTTGGTTTCTGGCAGAATTCCAGGATGCATAATATTGAACCAATCATTTGTGATCCCTGGAAACCGTCCTGTGTTGACATGCCAGTCTGCAAAGCCTGGTGGGACTGGCTCATGGTGATCATGTGCATTAGCACTGTTTCCAGAGGGCCGTGTGGAAGGAGGTCTCTAGTGCCCTATGGCAGGACTGTGGTCCTAGCCCTCGTCTGTGAGGTTATCAGTGACTCAGACAAAACTGGAGTCAGGAGCTCACACATTGAATGCAAAGGTCGGATTTCTGGAGACCCCACCCCGACAGACTGGAACAGTGGGCTCCATCTGTCTGACCTCCGGGAAATCGATGGAGGGGCCGTGTCAAGTTCCAAACTTGGATTTTTTTGTCTGACCTCCTGTTCTGTTGCTTTCATTTCCGAATAGCCCCCTTCCTTTCCTAGCCAAAAAACCCTCCCTTGGGACAACGAATTAACAAAAAGGAGGAAAGGAAGCTTTCAGTCAAAGTGACCCAAGACAGGCAGCGTTTGGCTCTTAGAGTAGAAATCTTGTTCTAGTAGTGGTTCTTGGGGAAAAGAAGACTTCGTATCACCTTATAATTTGCAAATATTTCTGCATCTGTTTTCTTATACTCAGTACTGCAGTTTGTGTTAACGCCCTTTTATAAAGGAGGAAATCCAGGCTTCAGATGGGCCTGTGATTTCATAGCTCCTGAGTGTCTGAGGCAGGATTTGAACCCAGTTCTTTGTGGTGCCCAAGTTCAGCCACTTGGTGTTAATGAGAGAAAAAACATTGTGGGGAAAAAAAAAACAACTCCAGTGTTTATCGGGTGCTAAGCTCTAGGGGTACAAATCCAAAAGCAGAGAAGGTGCCTGCCCTTGGGAGCTTCTCTTCTGCTCAGGGCTGTGGAGAGCTGTCTTTGGTCCTGGAGGGATGGTGAGTAGAGAGCTGTGGGGGGAGGATGTGGATGCTTCCTTATCAGGAGTGATGACCAGGGGCAGGTGAGGGGCCCCAGGAGGGCTCGGAGGCTTCTTAGCTGGCTGGGAGCAAAGTGTGACCTGACTATGGACAGGGCCCCGATGAGGGTGGAGGCACCTGGGACTTCTCTGCAAACTCATTACTTGTTCACATTGCAGTGTCTGCTCAGCTCTGTTCTCCAGCCCAGAAATCACTGTCCGGGCACCATGGGCTCGGGGTCCTTTGGGCATGTGTTTTCTGTTCCTGACTCCTAAGCTCTGTTCAGATCATCATATTCCATCCATTGTCAAATGTTGCCCTTCCTACATTAATGTCATCCTATCCTATCCCTTTGTTCCCTTATGTAACTGCTGCCTTAGTTCATGCCCTTCTCATCTCTCAACCTGGATTACTGAGACAGCCTCCTAATTCTGTTCCCTGCCTCAGTCTCCCCACTGTAGGCCGCCTCACTCGTCACTGCTGTTCCTTCTATGTAGATCTGACCAAATGGTGCCCCAACTAACCCAGTCTGGGATCCAATAAAAACTCGTCTAGTTGGCCCTGCACAGGCTAGTCCTAACCTATCCGTCCAGCCTCCCTGGACTCCATTGCCCTCTTCCCATCACCTGTATTCCAGCCAGGTTGGCATTCCCTCTCTTATTCAGACAGGACTCTTCATCCCCTGTGCTGTTGCGTCTTTGTTCCCAGGCCTAGAATGTCCTCCCTCCTTGCCTCCCTCGCCTCCTCCAAGAGGCTTGAGACCTTCCTCCAACCTCTAGTGGCCTTCTTCCCAAACCGCTTGTTTCACCACTTTCTATATGGTGTTCAGTCTGTCTGAGCCACACACAGTTTTAGATGTACTTGTCTCCCTCAGATTAGGACATAAAATACCGTGAGCAACCTAGGGGTTATTTTATTCCTCTTCTCTTTTAGAAATAATCAATTTATTTTTCATTCTCCACATTCACATCCATAAGATTTTGAGTTTTAAATTTCCCCCCTCCCTCTTCTCCCCCTGCCCCAAGATGGTTTGCCATCTGATATAGGCTCTGTTTATACATTCATGTTAAGCATCTTTTCACATTAGCATAAAAGAATTATAACTAAGGGGAGGAACCCCGAGGAAGAAGAAACCAAACCAAACAACAAAAGAAAAGGAGAGCAAACAGTCTGCTTCCTTCCCTCTGCATTCAGACTCCATGGTTGTTTCTCTGGAGGCGGACAGCATTTTCCATCATGAGACCTTTGGAGATGTCTTAGATCCTTGCATTGCTGAAAAGGGCCAAGTGAATCAAAGTTAGTCATTGCACAAAGTGGCTGTTACCGTGTACGACGTTCTCCTGGTTCTGCTCACTTCACTCAGCATCAGACCATACAAGTCTTTCCAGGTTTTTCTGAAGTCTGCCTGCTCACCATTTCTTAATAGCACCGTCGTATTCCATTACATTCATACACCACAACTTGTTCAGCCATTCCCCAACTGATGGGCATCCCCACAATTTCCTTATTTTATTCTTTGCATTTAAATTCCCAGGGCCTAGCACAGTGCCTGGGTACTTAATAAAAACTGGTTGGTTGGTAATCCTCATTGACCCCAGCTCCACTTTCATTTTTATCTAATCTGTTATGCCAGACTGAATTAGGAGTTCCTTGAGGGCAGCTTAATGTCTTACATGTGGAACGTGCCAATCCACCCGTGTTTCTGATCGATTCACCGGCTGGTCTTCTGTTCTGGGTAGTTGGCCAAGCTCAGGCTCCTTTGTAGAACCTGAGGGGCTGCAGAGATGACCTGTCCATCCCGATGTCAGGGTTGATGGGATTTTCCTAAAGAGATGGCCGGGCCTATGTCTGAAACCTTAGTGGGGGATAAGGTAAAATTCACTAGGACCGAGCTGTTGATACATTTGGGAACAAGCGCCATTGGCCAGGCACGCTACGAGGGGACTGGCAGCCTCCTGCTCCAATGGCAGAGCTGGGAGGGGGGCCAGCCTCTCCTCTGGCTGAAGCTGAGGCCGAGTCCCAGTGGGGGTCCCCCAACTCCTTGGAGGGTTTGCACTGCTTTGTTCCTGATAATAAAGTGGAATGGCATTAGGACCTAGATGTGCTCATGTGATTTCTTCAGGTAAGGGGAATCTCCTTCCTCCAGTCTGTGACTTTGTCACTAAGTCCTGGGGAGAAGGACTGAGCCAGGCCATGTTGGGAAGGGTTCAGTCACTTGTAGGGGGAGTTCCTGGGGTGGCATCTGAGCGCCCAGGCAGCAGCTGGACCCCTTTGCCCGCGGGCCTGCTGGCGCTCAAAGGTTTTCCTGCCCAGACTTGGGTCACTGGAGCTTGCTAGAGTGCCCGTTCTTGAGTGTGGCAGGCTTTGCTTGGGCACAGATACCACTCAGCAGACGATATCATCACTTGAGTTCTTCTTTTTCTCATTAGTTATCTTCAAGTGTTCTGAAGCAGAGAAGTAATTCCGTAACCCAGTAAAAATGGACAAAGAAGAAAAGAAGACTCTTAATGAAGGCCAAGAGGATGAAATGGTAATCCCATTTTTTCTAATCCAGGCAGTTTTGGGTGGAGGAGGGGGGTGGGGGGCTCAACCATCACTGGTGCCTTGTGGGAGCCGGAGAGGATTGCAGATTTGAAGCTGCAAGAGACCTTAGCATCTGTCAGGTTCCTGCCCCCAATTGTCATTTAGAGGGAGCGTCTTTGGACTTGAATTCCTTGGGAGGACTAGGGACCCGAGGTGAGAAAGAGTGAGCAGGGCAGCACTTGGTTCAGCCGGCCACAGCCAGGCCACAGCAGGCAGTGTATCTCGCACCTGTTTGCGGTCTGGAGCTCTTAATCTACTGACCCTTCTGTGATCTGGGGCATGGGACAGTGGGCAGGATGGACTGCATGTGTGGAAAACCCTGGAAGCAAACATTGCCAGGCAGTCTTCAAGGGGAAAAGTAGCCTCCCAAGGCCATTGGAGCATCCCTGGGAGGTGCCCGGGCCAGCCAGAGGAGGGTCCAACTTCTCTGAACTGAGCCCAAAGAACAACCTTTCAGACATTTCGCAGCGCAAAGGGCAGGATGTGTTTTCACTGCCCCGACTCTCCCCACTATAATCTACTATAAACATGGGCTGTGTGACACAGACTGTGACATTAAAGGCAAACATTTAAAAAGCAGTCTTGAAATGAATCCTGGGCTTTGTAACCTTCGGACAAAGAGACTTCTACCCAGAGCCAGCTCAGACCTATTTGAGAGGGTTGCAGTGAGGGAGGCTGGACCGTGAGATTTGGAGTGGGCTCCAGGGAATTGATGGGACCTGCCCATGTTGTCAGGGTTTAGACCCAGGCTCTCTAACTGCAAATCAAACCCACTGGTTTTTTGGGTAATGTCAGGGTGGGTTTGGATAGGTTTTATGTGGTTCTGTGCTTCCTCTGTTCAGATTTAGAATTTCAAAGTCCTATCATAATCTGGAGAAAATACCTTTTATTTTCAAGTTAATAGTTGTTGTTATTAAGTTGTTTTTTAGTCGTGTCCAAATCTCCGTGACCCCATTTGGAGTTTTCTTGACAGAGATATTAGAGTGGTTTCCATTTCCTTCTTCAGCTCATTTTACAGAGGAGGAACTGAGGCACACAGGGTTAAGTGACTTGCCCAGAGTCACCCAGCTAGTGTCTGAGGCCAGATTTGAACTCAGGAACATGAGTCTTTCTGACTCCAGGCCTGGCGCTCTATCCATTGTGCTATCCAGCTGCCCAAGTAACTTGTCCAGGGTCACAAAGCTAATAGGTGTCTCTGGCTGGATTTGAACTCAGGAAGATAAATCTTCAGGCCTAGCACTCTGTTCGCTGTGCCACCTAGCTAGTTTTAATAGTAGATAGCATTTAAAATTTATAAAGCTCTTTACAGATATTGTCTTTTTATCTTCACAACAACCCTGGGAGGGAGGTGCTGTTATCATCATCCCCGTTTTTCAGATGAGGAAACAGAGGTAGACAGAGATAAAGTGACTTGCCCAGAATCATAGAGCTATAGTAAGCCAGCATTTGAACTGAGGTTTTCCTGACCCCAGGTGCAGTCTTATAGGGGCTGCCTCCAGAGGGATCACCTGAGGCCTCTCCTAGTCCCAGCCTGTGTGCCCCATACGGTCACCTTTTCTGGGTTGGGGCCAGTGGGGAGTACGGGCAGAGAGTTTGGCCTAAAATGGACAAAGAGGAGGAGGTGTATAGGAGACTGTCTTTTTCTGTAACAGACTTGGTGCGTCGCTTCCAAAATGGTTTTGCTTACTTGTGACTCTGGCCTCCCTTGCCCTCTCTTCTGTACATTTTTATTTACTTACTCATTTGCTTTTTGGTGAGGCAGTTAGGATTAAGTGACTTGCCCAGGGTTATGCAGCTAGTAAGTGTCAAGTGTCTGAAGCTGGATTTGAACTTGGGTCCTCCTGACTCCAGAGCCGGTGCTCTATCCACTGCGGCACCTAGCTGCCCAGCTTTTGTGCATTTTTAAAAAATGCTTCAGTAACTCTTTTGGGGGCAGCCTTCTCTCTCCCTTCTCCCTATTCATTTCTTAGGTGGGTGATTGATTTAGGAAAAACTGCTTCAGATTTTGAAGCTCCCAGCCGCACAGCCCTAAACCCATCCAAGCCTGATCCCCCTCCCCAAATTCTCAGCTGCTGTTTGGATACCCAGGTGTGCCAGAGGGGATTCCACGTATTCCCCAAGTATTGAGAGGGGAGTGAGGGATTCATGCAGTTCAGGACAGATGGATTGACACAACAAACCTTTTTGCTGTGGATCATTGAAAAGGAGCCTTGTTGATTATGGGGATTGTTCACACACCCATCACCAGTGTTGGGGGAAACGTGGATTATGGATGCAGGAATCACTGTTTGTGGTCTGAGCCAAGCTTAGATATATTATACAGTCAGGGCTCCCTCTCCCAAGAGAAGATGGGCTGGTCATTTTTCACTTGCCATGTTCTCCACTTTGCAGGCCTCCTTGCCTTTGGGTGAGCTGGGAAGTCCCATCCCTGGAATGTCCAACCTCCAGGCCTTTGCTGCCTGCTTCCTTCAGGGCGCAGCTTGGGAGCCTTTGGGGGCGCTAGCTTCCTCCTTGACTGACCTCGGACTAGATTTGTGCACGGGCTGTGGCCCCCAATAGAAAGCAAGTTTCTTGAGGGCAAGGATTAGTTTCATTTTTGTCTTGGGATTCTTGGAGACTAGCACTGGACTTTGTATGTAGTAGGTGCTTAATAAATGTTTGAATTTAGTGCCGATCATTTCCACGTTGTCTCCATTCTTTGGCATTTCTATTAAATGGTGCACAGATTATCCGGGTGCTCAAAGCTTTTCGTGTTGGAGCTGTCCTAATCTCAGGTTGGTAGAGAATCCATAGGAAGGGACATCCCTAAGCGAGGGGACTTGAAGCCTGCCTCCAGCTTACTTTGTCAGGGCCACGCACAGGACAGATAGATAGTGTCATGTGGCAGAAGCCGGTCCCTTCCACTTTCAGATACGGTGCAGAGTCCATCACAGGTATCTGTCATGGAAATGGAGGCACGTTTTGGGGTGGTCTTCCTGGTGATTGATTGTTTGTTGGTTAATAGAGAAATCATAACAAAGACTGGTTTGTCGAATGCCTTTTATGTGCCTCGGGTGGGTATTCCAGGGGAAACTGTGCTTGGGCAGGTACTTGGGGAAGAGAGCAAGAATTGCTTTGAATCTGACAGTTCGCTGGTCAGATTTCAGATGGTAAAAAATTAAATTCTTTGTCTAAAATGCTACAAGGTCTGGTTGATCACGATTTGTTTTCCCGTTTCCTCGCAGGAGATTTATGGTTACAATCTGAGTCGTTGGAAGCTGCTCATAGTTGCATTTGGGGTGATCTGTACTGGTGGCTTCCTCCTCCTCCTCCTCTACTGGATGCCCGAGTGGCGGGTGAAAACCACCTGCTTCCGAGCAGCCCTCAAAGACTGTGAGGTGGTGCTGCTGAGGACGACGGTAAGTGTGTCCTTGGGCCTCACCAACCGGAATACTTTGCCAATTGTTCTGCTTGCCTCTGGTGTGTTTCCTTTCTGAGCTGGAAATATACTGTTGCTGAGGTACAGCTCTGACTGACTAGTTTCTCTTCTTAAACTTACTGGTTTTTGGCTTGCCACGGAAGCTCTGGGCCTTCCACTCGACCTCCATGTTCCTCTGTGGGACACTGGGCTTTCCAGCCATGCTGGCCCTCAGCCGTTTCTCTTCTTCCGGACCCAGAATTTCAGGGTCTTTTCATCCTCCGCTTCCAGAATCTTTTCTTCCTTCAGGAGCCAAGCCTGGTGTGACAGGGATTCCCTTTTTGAGGTTGCCCAGTGTTTGCTTGCTGGGGACCTTGATTATCCCACAGGCGAGCTGCAGTAGAGGTTGGCTCCAAACTCAGACCTGAGCAGTCCCTTGTGTGGAGTGTTTATTGAGTCGAATCTTCTTATCTGGATTTTGTGTTGATGTTTTCGTTGAGTGTTACACATGCAAAAACCATCTCCACCAGTCCCCAAATTGGCAGACAAAAACCTGGAAGCCCAGAGAGAGCGTGGCTCGTGCGAAGCCTCCCGCTGGCCTTTGTGTGGTCTGACTATGAGGCTTTGTCATTGGCTTTTATTTTTCTGATTGAAAATGAGAGTCTCCCTTTGGTTATGACCCACTTTGGGAGTCATTTTACAATTTGCAAAATTAAAGAATTGTTTTTATCAACATGAGATCTGAGTTCATGAAGGTGCCAGAAAAGCATGGACAGACGTGCCTTGTGGAGAAGCTTTGTCTTAGAGAATGTTAGATCTGGGTTCTGTGACTGCATGAGTCGCTGACCTTCCCAACTTTGGACTACCAAGGGCAGGCAGGTCGGGTTTGATCTGTATGAGGAGAGGACACTCTCATACCAGTGAAAATCACAGGGCCTTGGCCATATTGCTGTTTCTACCTCTGCCCGCCTCAGTTTCTTCATCTGTAGAGCGAGGATGTAATAACAGCCCCGTTCCACGGTTGGGGTGAGGACTAAAGGAGGTCACAAAGGCTTTGCAAACCTTAGGGGCCCTCGTCAATGCCGGCGATTCCCGTTACCCTTACCACTTATTGTCTGGGATGATCTGGGAAGCGACAGGGCTTGAACTAAGTCTTGAATGTTCTGGGAATTTTGTCAGAGTGAAGGAAGCGGGAAATCCTGAGTTCTGACTACACTGTGAGCGGGAAGCCGTGTTTTCTCCCATGGCAAGTGGAACTGGAGGGATTAGGTTGAGAGAGAGGGATTTGAATTGAGAGCCAAGAGCACCTTGACGTGATGCTGCGGGGGCCTGCCTAGGCCCACTCCTCAGTGGTGGTCTCGCTGAGGCCGCGTGCCCGTGTGTGAGGGTGCTGGGGCCCCAGGATGGAGAGCGGGGCCTTCTCCAGGGTTGTCTTCCCAGGCCTGCTGCTAGTGCAGAGCAGTCCTTCCCCAACTCTTCTTGATCAATTGTCATATGGCGTACGTGTCTGCAGATGAGAATGCTAGAATGAAAACCTTTATTTTTCTCTTTTTTCCAAGGATGAATTCAGGATATGGTTTTGTGCAAAAGTTCGCTTTCTTTCTCTAGAAAACCACTCATTTTCAAGCCCTAAAACAGTAACTAAAAAAGTGTCCAATGGCCACGCTGCTCATTTCCATTTCCCTGAGGACCTGCCTGAAGAGGACCAGCGTGACCTTGCCCAACCCCGAGAGGTACTGTGGCCTCTGCCTGAGAGTGAGGGGGCGTGTTTAGGGGCAGGCCAGAGGAGCCTCTGGGGCCTGGCCGAGAGCTGGGGCTGGAGGGGTGTGTTGGGGTGTTGAAGCATGAGCCCATTTTCTTGTCTTTTTAAGTGAGTGTTTGTCAGTTAATTGAAATGTTAAGAGCCAGGGTCACTGGAGATCCAATCTGTCGGATGCTTCATGTTTTGCAGATTCCTTACTTTACGCACCACAGCGTGAGGTACTTCTGGAACGACTCCCTCCAGAATTTTGACGTGTTAAAGTAAGTGAAGTTTGTTCCCTTTGCCTTTATATCAGATCACATCCTGAGGATTTTGTCAGACATAAAATGAGTTTTCTATAATTATTTCCAAAAGTAGAGGAGAACCCTGTTGCCTTCTCCTTTCCTGACTGGGACGTATAAAAATATGCTTCAGGGATGGAGCATTCTTGAAATTGGTTTCTCTTAGAGCCCTGTGGGAGCGGTTAGTGGCCAGATGAGGAGGAAGCGGGCAGGGGTGTGGTGACAGCTGGGGGGGGAGGGGAATGCCAGATTGGTCTGTGCCTTGATGCCTTGGTCTTGGAGGGGACCCCCGACTGTGACCTTCTGTTAAACTGTTTGAATGTGGTCTAGGAAGAAGCAGAAGGTGTCTCTCTGTCTCTCTATATAAAATCATTCACAGATAGTAGTAATGAAAATATTTTTGCTAGTGATTGCAGTGAGATACAATGAAATATTCATGCTAGTGATTACGGTGAACTAAGAAGTTAAAGACATTTTAGTGGAAATGGAACTAGAATGAGAAATCAGGCCTGTTGTTACTTGAACGATGCTGCAATGGAATCTAGAAAACAGCTCAGACCTCCCCTTTGGAGGAGAATTCCTCCTGTGGGGTAGGTTTTTTGAATGTATTTTTAAAAAAAAAATTTTAATTAATTTATTAAGTGATGTTACAGTATATAGGTTATTTACAACTGTGCAGCAATGTGTTGCAAAATAAATTATCTAGAAGGCAACAAAAATGCATTGTTATGTATATAAAAACTGTACAGCATTTATGCATGAATTTTTCAAGTTATCTTTTAGCCTGGGACTCCAGCTAAGGATGCCTATTTAGAATGGGATTCTTGCACTTTTTAACAGAGCATTAAAGAATTTTGGTATTTTTGGCTTGGATTAAAGTAAGAATTTCTCATTTCTTTAGGGGTCTGGATGAAGGTATTTCTTGTACTTCAATTTATGAACAGCACAGCTCAGGGCTGGCAAAGGAGAAGCACGCCTACAGGTAAAGAAAACCCAAGCGCCATCGAGTGCTCCTGCGCTGGTTTTGACATTAAGTAGACAGTAAACCCTGCTAAGCTGCAGTTTGGATCAGTAAATTGATTTTGATTTTGGTAATAAATTGACAAATGACCTTCAAAGTATTGTTCTTCACTAAATACACTAAATTAATGAAACCTGAACTTGAATACAGTTCTTTAAGACAGTATTTTAAAATGAAATAGAAATGTTTTCCAACAAAAATCCCTAGAGTCACAGCATTTTCCACAAGAACTAAAGTTTAGCCTTCAACTCGTTTAAAACTCTGGCTATAAGGGAGAGCTTTTATTTTTTTCTTGTCCTCAGCCGACTGGCTGTCAAGTCTCCTTTCTCTGACTGAGTACACAGTTCTAGTCCATATGACGTTACTGGATTACGCAGATGTGGTCGTTTCATCTTTTGCCAGAAGTAGTCTATTTCTTTGACTTTAGATTAGGAGCGAAGTTTCTAGAGAATCTAGTTCTTGCCATTTGTGAGGGAATGACAAGAAACAGCCTGGTTCTGTGGACACTGATCTTGTGCTAGTGCCTGATGCTTGTGTGTGGCTCCCCATCCATCCTGCATGGTGCAGATATGTGCCTCAGATTCTCAACATTGAAACCTAGGTAGGCGGGAAGGCCACAGTTTGCACTAACACTTTGACTTTTCTCCTCTGTCATACAGAAAACTGATGTATGGAATGAATGAGATCGCTGTCAAAGTGCCTTCTGTCCTTAAACTTCTGGTGAAAGAGGTAAGGCCGCCTGCTGGTTGGTTTGGGCTCCTCCCATCCCCCATCCCATTGTCCAGATTGCCTGTCCTGGGCCTGGTATCTTCTGCTCCCATCTCCTGAACGATCTTCTGGCCCCTCCCTGCTGGTGCTCTTCGCTGTCTCTCCATCTCTGGGCCTTTGGTTACTCTCTATTTCCCAGGCTTAGAATTCTCCTGCTGAGGCTGGTCGAGGCCACTGCTGATCTTTCCCCCTTAGAGCAACTGTCTGTTCACTTGTTGCTCATGTGTCTTTGATGCACCTCTTTTATACATTGGGAATTTGAGTTACTTCTTTTTTCCCTCTACTAGACTTGAAGTTCCAGGATGATTAGGGACCATGTGTTATTTCCCCAAACTTCCTCTTTCCTCCAATGCCTCGCTTTGATCCCTATAGAGAGCACTTAATGGTTCTTTAATTAAGTTGGGATGAATGCGATTGAAATCAAGTATGCTTTAAATTATATTTCTACTTAAGAGCCAGAGATTTCCCAATAAGCTGTGCTTTCTTCGTGTTTGATAGTGTAAATACATTCCTCTCTGTGTCTGCTGGGAAATGCCGATTCCGTTTTCAGAAGCAATGATTGTGATAAAATCACATCAGAAAACTGAAAGATAACTTGATTAATTTGTATCTTAGTTAATTAAAATAGATCCTTGCAGAATGCCATGTAACAATGCATACTATTTAAAACTTAAAAATATTGGGGAGAATGAGAATCATAGAACTAGGTTGAGTTTCTCCTAATGGGGTTCACAGATCAATCAGAATTATCCACAACAGGAATTTCAGCTTTGTTAGATACTATGTGAGTTAGTTGCTAAAAATCCAAAGATACACAAAGTATTCCAACAGAAAAGGGTGAAAGGATTAGGTTCAAGCTGTCTTTTAGTGATTTGGGTTTTTTTAGTGTTTTGTGCAAAAAAATGGGCATGATAAAAGACGGAAATGGTGGGGACTTAACAGAAGTAGAAGCGATTAAAAAGAGGTGGCAGGAATATACATAAGAACAAGATAAGAAGGATCTTAACATCACTGATAATCACGATGGTTGGTCCCTGATCTAGAGTAAGACATCTTGGAGAATGAAGTCAAGCAGGCTCTAGGAAGTATTACTAACAATAAGGCTAACGGAGGTGATGGAATTCCAGCTGAGCTATCCAAAATCCTAAAAGATGATGCTGTCAAAACGCCTGTGCTCAATGTGCCAACAAATTTGGAAAACGCAGCTGTGGCCACTGGACTGGAAAAGATCAGTTAATGTCCCAGTCCTAAAGAAGGGCAATGCCAAGGATTGTTCAAATTACCAAACAGTTGTGTCCATCTCACACACCAGCAGGGTTATGCTTAAGATTCTGCAGGCAGTATGTGAACCAAGCATTACCAGAAGAGGCAGAGGAACTAGAGACCAAATTGCCAGCATTCACTGGATTATGGAGAAAGCAAGAGAGTTCCGGAAAAAACATCTCCTTCAGCTTCATTGACTACACTAAAGCCTTTGACTGTGTGCATCACAACAAGGCGTGGCACATCCTGAAACAGATGGCTGCACCAGATCATCTTACTTGTCTCCTGAGGAACCTGTACCTCAGGTACAGGTTCAACAAGCAACAGTTAGAACTGAACTTGGAACAACTGGTTGGTTTAAGATTGGGAAAGGAGCACGACAAGGCTGTATATCGTCACCTTATTTATTTAACTTATATGCAGAGTAAATCATGTGAAATGTCAAGCGGGATGAATACCAAGCCCAAATTAAGGTTGCTGGGGAAAATATCAGCAATCTCAGATATGCAGATGATATTACTCTGAAGGCAGAAAGTGAAGAAATAAACCTCTTGATGAGGGTGAAAGGGGAGAGTGTAAAAGCTGACTTGAAGCTTAACATCAAAAAAACTAAGATCTTGGCAACTGGTCTCATCACTTCCTGGCAAATCATAGGAGAAGAAATGGAAGCAGTGTCAGATTTTATATTCTTGGGGCACCTTGGAAGGAAAGCTATGGCAAATTTGTACAGCAAATGAAAAAGCAGAGACATCACCTTGCTGACAAAGGTCCATGTAGTCAATGCTGTAATTTTTCTAGAAGCAGTGTGTGGCTGTCAGAGCTGGACTGTAAGGAAATCCGAGCACCACAGAATAGATGCTTTCAGATGGTGGTGCTGGAGAAGACTTTTGAGAATGGACAGCACGGAGATCAGATCAGTCAATACTTAAAGAAATCAATTCAGACTATTCACTGGAAGGACAAAATCTGAAACTTAAATACTTTGGCCACATCATGAAAAGACGGGAACTCGTTGAAAAAGAACTTGATGTTGGGCAAGATAGAAGGCAAAAGGAAAAGGGGATGGCAGAGGATGAGATGGATGGATAATGTCATGGAAACAGTGGACATGAACTTGTACAGACTTGGGGAGATGTGGAGGATAGAAGGGCCCATATGCTGTGGTCTATGGGGTCATGAACGACTGAACAACAACAACAAAGTATCAGAGGTATCCTCTTAGAGGACAGAGGGAGAGGGGCGCATGGCTCAATAGCCTGAGAAGTCGTAGACTTCACAGATTTGGTGAAGGCAGGACGGCGCTTCTTTTCTGTGGAGGTTTTTAGTTTTTGTAACTGGGGCTGCTTGGTTTCTTGTTCAATAACAGGAAAGAAAAAGAGTTTTTCTGCTTTTTTAATGTACATTCTGTCAGTTTGGGATGGATTAGTTCTAAGACATTCTGTTCAGCCTCCGCTCTGATTTCAGTCCTATCTGAAGAAGCGTCAGTCACAGAAGAGACTTGCCTTGGCTGGGGGAAGGAGGCAGGTCCAGCCCAGAGCAGCACCAGGAATCTCCTTGATCTTTGCAGCAGCCTTCTGGTGGCCAGTGAAGGCATCACCAACGCCATCGTAAGGAAGAAGGACCAAGCTCAGAAAGTCCTTGGCTCATGCTCACCCAGCTAATAAATGCTGTCCTGCGTTGGAACCTGAGTGTCTTCTGACTCCACACTGCTGCCTGGTGGTAGCTGACAGTAGCACAGTCTTCTTTGTTCAGCCTACTGAGAAATATCAGAAATATTGGATTGTAGATCTTTCTGTTAATTAAATACTAGATAAGTTTGTTTTTTTTACTATGATTAGAATTTGCTTTCCTTAGTGTATTATGGTGAAAAATTCAAAACTGAACTACATGATTTCTATGGTCCCCTTCCAGTTATAGGTTTATATAACTCTATGGAGAAAAAAGAGTAGAGACTTAAAAAAAACATCTCATGTAGATGAGAAAAGCCCAATTAAAAGATTGTTAAAAACTGGCCCTATTTGGAACGAGATCCCAGTCTTGTTTTTTTAAAGATTTCCTCGGGTTAGCCCTGTTATGACATGGTACTCCTCACAACAACCCCTCCCCCCCAACATCTGCACGGAGTGGATCCAAATCTAGCCATTGCTGTTGGAAAAGCTGCTGGAGCTAAATGTCCCCGTTGGTGATGCTGGGATGTTTTGTTTTCTTGCTCTCTTAATGCCTGATTTGCTTCTTGGGAAATAGTGAACACCACAAAAGTATTTTGTTGAGAAAATCAAGATAATGATGACCAGTTAAATGGGTAGCTTGGATAAGCGTCTTCTCCAGCATTTTGAACAGATGACCCTTCCAAGAAAGTACAGCAGAGCCCCTGTAAGCAGCTTGTGAGACCTTGGGCTGGTGATTTCATTTGGGATCTGCTTCTTCACCTATAAAACGGGTTAGTTATCAGCCCTTCTCTTATCAAACCACAGTCTTCCAATACCACAAAAGTAAGTCCAGTGGAAGTGGCAGGTGGTCATGGTCCCTGAGAATCTATTTATTAATATCATTTGGAAGCTGACGAAAATATTTTGCTGTCGGAGTTTTCCCTCATCCCAGCTGTCTTTGAGCTATTGTTCTTTTTTTGGGGAATTTTTTTTTATCAATTTATTTATTTTTAGTTTTCAACATTCACTTCCATAGGCTTTTGAGTTTTACATTTTCTACCTCTGCTTCTCCTATCCCCTCCCCAAGATGGTGTGCAATCTGGTATAGGTTCTACTTACATAATCACTTCCATAAGCTTTTGAGTTTTATGTTTTTCTCCCCCCCCCCCCCCCAGGATGGTGCACAGTCTGATATAGGCTGTACATATACATTCCTATTAAACATATTTTCACATTAGCCATGTTGTAAGGAAGAATTAGAACCAATAGGAGGAACCACCAGAAAGAGGAAACAAAACACAAACGAAGGAAAAAAGAGCAGGTGTGCTCCCCTCCCCAGCCTGGTCAGGTGGGCGCTGGCATTGGGGACATTTCTGATGAGCCTCCCCTGTGTCGGTATGTGGGAGCGGGTGCCCTTGTGGATGGAGCATGGACCAGGAACCAAGGCCTGGATGCTGTCCTGGCTTAACTTGCGTCTTATTTTTCAGGTTCTCAATCCCTTCTACGTTTTCCAGCTGTTCAGTGTGATTCTGTGGTGCACAGATGAGTACTACTACTACGCCCTGGCCATCGTGATTATGTCTGTGATCTCCATCATGAGCTCCTTATACACCATCAAGAAGGTGAGTGTGGGCCCTGGGTTCGACGGTGGCTGCCCAGGTCTTGTGACAGTTCTTCACAGCTGGAGGGACTCCTTCCCCACCAGAGATTACAGCCTTATGTGATAACATCATAGATCCAGCTCTTGGCAGTTGCCAAGATAGACGTTTGAGGGAGCTGTTCAGGGCCACTGAGGCAGGGCGTAACCCCAGGGCCTCCTAATTCCAAGCTGACTGTTATAATTCCTGGCTGTTGAGTTTCCCTTAGCAAAGGCTAAGTCAAGTTTTTGGCATCTCTTTTCAATGTGAGAAAATGTGGGAATCTACAGTTATCTGGTTTGTAAATGCCTTTGTGCAAAAGCAAGGCCTTGGGCTCAAGGTGAACTTGTCTAGTTCAGGAGCTCTATATGCTGGGGTGAGGGCTGGGAGGGAAGTGGATACAGCACTCCCAGAAGGGCTTTCCCCATTGGTATTGGGAGGACGCTCTCCTGTGTGCTGCTGGGGCCCCCTGGGGGAGGATGATCTCTCTGGATGCAGCGCCCAGCCTTTCACGTTGACCGTTATTTATTGTTTTCTACACAGTCATTGGGTTCTTAGAATGTGTGTGTGAGATTGGGGTGGGGGGGTCCCCTGGACCTCTGATCTCATTGGGGTGTGTAAGTATCACTTAATGATTGCAGATCAGCACCTCTTTAGGCGTTGACAGCTTCTCTGTGCTTCCTTCCAGCAATACATCATGTTGCATGATATGGTGGCCGCTCACAGCACTGTGAGAGTTTCTGTCTGCAGAGTTGGTGGAGGTAGGTAGCCCAGGACATGTCTGCCTTGGAGGGGTCGAAGATCAGAAGAATGAGTCCAAAAGTGAACCTCCAGGTGCCTTCACCAGGAGCTTTTATTTCAGACTTATCTCCGACCATGACTTGGGAGCTCTGTTTTGTCTGTCAGACACACACTTGCATACATGATTACCGTGTGCCTGGAGGGTGTTGATGGCTACTTTTCAGAATGTAGAATCAGACACATTCCTCTCAGCTGTCAGAATCCTTATTATAAATATTCTTGCCAGACAGAGGTCACTCTTCTCCATGTTCTGTTCTGCTTGGTGATCAGGTGGCACTTTGCGAGTTATGTGACCCAGCTGGGTGGTGGGCTCCTCAGGTTTGTTGGGAAGGTTACTGCAGAGGCAGCGGTACCAGCGTGGCTGTCCTTTGGGTTCACTTTCACATGGGAGCCTATGTGAGGAAATCTTGGTTCTGTTGGGTCTGGAGACTCGGGCATGTCTGGTGGACTGGTCACTGCCTACATGAGGGTGGCATCATTCTCTCTCCATGGGGCAGAATGAGGCTGTCGCTTTGTTCTCTTCCTTTGCCAAGAGATTATGGTAGGAGCTCTCTACCTTTCACGTGTCCTGAAGTGTTCATGTGTCCGTCAAGTGTTCGGCTGAAACCTTTGGACCCCATACAGGAATTGTGAGGTTTTTTCCCCTAAAAAAATCATAATTGAGGGAAAGGCTCAATTTCAGTTAGAGGTTAGTGAAATTAAAGATGCCATTTTTTTCCTCAGAGAGTTTTATGAACTCTCTGAAATTTATTCCTGGATCCTTTGGTAGGGGCTGGGGGTGTCCACAGACCCAAGGTGACAAATCCCTGAATTATGGAAAGCTAGCTTTCTTATTTGGGGATGCATTTGTATTTGAAGACGGTTCTCTGAGTAGGAAGAGCTAAAAAGGGGTCTGGGGACTTGTTGCAGACCAAGAAACTCTTATAGCAGAAGGTCTGAGAAGCCTCAAGAGTAACGCCTGAGGGAATGCATGTGCAGGTGTGGAAGCTGCTCGTTTCTGCACACAGTAAGCTCCTACTGTGTGCAGTGGTCGGCCCTAGGGATAGAAAGAGAGGGACGTAGTCCGTGGAGTTGGGGGAGGGGCTGCTGAGACCATTCCTGTAAGTCATCTCCACCCCCTTGAGCAAGGGCAGTGCATCGTGAGGGTTTTTATTTTCTGTTGACATTATTTCCCTGTAGTGTAGACGTTTTGTCCTCTCCTGCTTATAAAAGCAGAGCTCTAATCCTGGTAGCACTCTGTCCAACCCTACTTCCCCTCCAGGTTGGCCATAGGCGGCCTGCGAGCTCCTTGTCCTCTATTGTCCATCTTCCATCACTGTCATTCACGCACAGGTGGATTATTCCTCCTGGTGGTCTCTGAGCCGTGGCTCAGGCAGGCAGATCATTTGGAACAGTGGGGCTCTTGCCTGATTACAACTGTCCTCGCATCACATAAAAGCTTGCCGCGATGACATCTCATCCATAGTATTCCTCGTGATCCCCTGACCTAACAGGACTTGGTGTTTCTATTTTTGCTACAGTCCACTAATTATGAGCGCTGTGAGGGCAGGGGCAATGTGTGGTGAGCCCTCCTCCCTCTCCAGTGCTTTGCTGTTCATGGTTCTGAGATAAAGCAGGCCTCCCCTCCTTCGCCTTGGAGCACTGACGTCTGTCTGCTGGGCTAATTGGGCAAGGTCCTTTGGAGATAGAACTATGGGCTGCTATGTTATTGTTCCTCCATGTAAAACAACATTTAAAAAAACGTCTCTGATCCTTTCAGAAATAGAAGAGATTTTTTCCACGGACCTTGTACCTGGAGACATCATGGTCATCCCGATGAATGGAACAGTCATGCCTTGTGACGCAGTCCTCATCAGTGGCACCTGCATTGTAAACGAGAGCATGCTTACAGGTAAATGAGATGGGAAATGATCTCGATGTAAGGGTCTTAGAGCAGGGCAAGGTGAAGTCTTCATGAAATAGGTTAGGGTGAATATTTCACTTTCACACTGTGACTTCCAGGGATTAACACGATTAAGAGTTGGCATTATAAAAATAACTGGCTCTGGTGAATCAGTGGACCTCACCTAGGAATTATGGAAATGGGAAGAGCCAGGTGTTGAACTTGGGCTGAGAAAGGCCTTGGCTTCGGTGCTTGGCTCTTGTCACTCTCGGTGTGACCGGAGGCCAGCCATTTAAACTGCCCCAAGCTCCATTTCCTCTTTTCTGAAGTGGGACCATTTTGGGTCATCCTCCGGGCCAGACAGTTGTGAGGATCAAAGTGCCAGGCACGTAAAGAAGTGCTCCATCAGCGCTGGCGTGGCCATTGGTCTTTCCCGTAGGTTACTTACCTCTTCTGCCTTTCGGCTTTGATGTGGCAGTGGATGGGCCTTGGTCCTGGTTGGGACCAGCCTTGGCTGCCGCTGACAGCTTTTCATCAGCTGGAGTCACTTGGTGAAGCAAGGACTTTTACTTTGTGTAGCTGCTCCCCATGAAGGCTGAAGGAGGGGAAGTATGTGTGTTTAGTGATGTCGTTATTATTAGCAGTTAGGATGATGAAATTATTGGCAAACAAAAGCCAACGATTTGAGATAAAACCTAGCTCTCTGGATGTGGTTCTAGAATCATTAGCCTTTTGGTTGAGCTAAATTAAAATCACTCTGAAATGCTCTGAAGGTTATTGAAAACAACACTTAATGTCTTTGAGTATTGCTTTTAAAATGTTAAAGCTCTCCATGCTGAGGATTTATACTTTTTGTTTAAGGTGAAAGTGTTCCTGTGACAAAGACTAACTTGCCAAACCCTTCAGTGGATGTGAAAGGAATGGAAGATGAAATGTATAGCCCAGAACACCACAAGCGGCACACTTTGTTTTGTGGGACCACGGTCATTCAGACTCGCTTCTACACCGGAGAACTCGTGAAAGCTGTTGTGGTCAGGACAGGTAGCCAGCCTTTCATGTAACCGCCAGGACTACTTCAGGCTACTAAATATTTCCAAATGACAGGCCCTGGAGGAGCTCAGCTGTGCTTCTGGATAGCTTAGTGAGATTTCCTTTCTAAAAGAGAGATTATTTGTTTGGATGCTTCATTTTCCCTCATTCCTTCACTCCCTTTTGCCCACTTTCTGGCGTTGCAGTTAAGACTGTCGTGAGAGGCTCAGTCCTTGGGTGGTCTCCCCTTTCTGAAGCTACTATACTTGCTGCTTACAAGGAGGATGTGTAAAAACCTTTGGCCTTAGGAGTGAGTCCTTCAGGCATCATTGCCATTAGGAAATGTTAGGGACGAATGGAAGAAAACTTGAGGATTGTGGGGAGGGAATCATTGAGATGACACCAAGTCAGGAAATTTAGAAATAGTCATCTTGTGGCTGTTTCAGATCTGTGAGTAATATGTTTGGTTTTTTACATATGTATGTGTGTATTTTTATATAAAACACATATCTCTTTGTAGCCTTTTGGCCATCATACAGATTTCTAGCCAGTCATTCTGACTCCAGTCTAAACAGGGCAGATAGTTTCTGCTCCTGCTATTTTCACCATTGATTCTGCTGTATTCACTGGTTAAACATTCTGTCTCCAGGGTTTAGTACCTCAAAAGGCCAGCTTGTACGTTCCATCCTGTATCCCAAGCCAACGGATTTTAAACTCTACCGAGACGCCTACATGTTTCTGCTCTGTCTTGTAGTGGTGGCAGGCATTGGATTTATTTACACCATTGTCCATAGCATTTTGAATAAGGTACAGAAGGGTTGGGCTGTGGCCTTGTTCATCCATGGTGGGGGGTGGAGTCCAGAACTGCTCTCCCCAATTAGGTTTTATTGGTTTGATTTCCTCCTGGCCTTTCTCAAGAAACTACTACCTAAGTACAACATTCACTGGCATGTAATGGAAACTGAATCAGGAAAGAGGATTGATTAGATGTCCCACCTTGTATGAACAGAACATCTTGGACAGTTTATTGATCCCCCACCGCAGTCTTTCTCTGCCCCAAAAGAGGCCTCTTTGAAGCGTTCCCACTTGGCGTTGCGTGTTTTCCTTGGGTTCACTCTAGGTGTCGGCCCGAGTTATAGTCATAGAATCTCTGGATATCATCACAATCACTGTGCCCCCTGCGCTTCCGGCTGCAATGACTGCTGGGATTGTGTATGCACAGAGGAGACTGAAAAAGATTGGGATCTTTTGCATTAGCCCTCAGCGGATAAACATCTGTGGGCAGCTCAACCTAGTGTGTTTTGACAAGGTAAGGCCAGTTTGATAGTTTTCTATGTATTGCTTTTTTGTATTATAGCTTCAGGTTTGATATTAAATGCAGTTTTAAATTCCTTTAATGAATCCCCCCCACCCCATTAGTGTACTTTTTTCCTCCTTCTGAGTATTTTTTTGATCAGCCTTTCATTTTGAAAATTTTGCTGATGTTTTGGCTTAATTGCTTTAAGAAGCTCATCCATCTAGTTTGTTTTGGCGGAGGAGGTACTCCCCAAAAAGTAGCCTCTCCCAAAGCCCCTCCCCGGGGTCAAGATGTGCCCTCATGGAGGTTGCTGGCTTCCAGATGCCAGGCCACTTATGGGGAGTATCGATCACTTTTATTTTTGGTGAATATCATCCTTATTGAGGAAGAGAATTAGGGTTTCCAACCCACAGGATTGTTTCCCCATGAATTTCCCTTGTCATCACGTTATAAATATTTCCGATTGGTGCCCGTTCCCATTCACCGGTTTGGAGCTTCTCTTTCCTCAGACTTGATTGGTATGGACTTTTTGGCTGGGTGAAAAGAGTTTGGCTTGGGGAGGTGGGGTTTGCAAATGCCAGGTGTTCTGATCAGAATTTAAGGAGAAGGAGGGAAGCTCCCACACAGAGCTGCCAAGGGCATGAGCATTGGTTAAGCACCTGCTGTGTGCTGGGTTCTGTTCTAAGTGCAGGAGATACAACGCAAACAGAAAAGACAATCCTTGCCCTCAAGGAGTGCCCATTCTAATGGGAGAAGATAATCCAAAGAGAGCTGTTGTAGAGTGTGTGGGGAGGAGCTTACTGAGCAGAAGTCTCCGGAAGGCTTATGCCTCAGGGAGGAGCCTTTGCCAGGACACATTACTTTTCACTTTGTCCTAACACCCTTCCCTTAGACCTTCTCTGATGAAGGGAGTTCCCACACAGAGAAATCCCAGATCCTAGGCCTAGTCCTTACCCAGAGCTGTGAGCACGCATTCTCCTTGAAATGAAACTCATTCTTCAAGTTTTTCCAGAAGACTTTCTTTCTTTTTTTTTTTTTTTTGTTTGTTTGCTTGGTTTTTTTTAGGCAATTGGGGTTAAATGACTTGCCCAAGGTTGCACAGCTAATAAGTGTCAAGTGTCTGGTCTGAGGCCAGATTTGAACACAGGTCCTCCTGACTTCAGGGCCGGTGCTCTATCTACTGCGCCATCTAGCTGCCCCAGCAGGAGACTTTCACGTAAATAAAGTATTCCCATTCTTCTCTGAGAAGTAATTAACAGATTATGGGAAGGGAACCTTATTCTGTCCTTAAGAAAATGTGCCAGTGTATAGTACCTAAACATGCATGCTCTTGAACTTGTACTCACATGGTTTATTAGACATTTCCCAGCGATTGCCGACTTTGTTTTTCAGACTGGAACGCTTACTGAAGACGGCTTAGACCTTTGGGGCATACAGAGAGCGGAAAATGCACAGTAAGAGTTCATTAGATTTTATACTTTAGGATTCTGTGTCTTGTCTGATTAGTAATCATATTGTAAAATAAAATGCATTTTTAGGCCTTTCATGTTGCCCATTAAGGATTTTCAGGCCAGAGGAAGAGTAGAGTTTTCATGGAGAGAAAGATTATGTGGATAACCTGGTGTGGAATATGCACATTGTTAGATGGACGCCCTGGCCCCACAGTTCAACGGTGGGCTTTAGCAAGCCCCGTCAGCAGGCTGCCTCTCTGATGTAGGCCCCTCTGAGTAACCGGTCCTAGCTTTGGGTCCATCCCTTTGATGAAGATTGAGTAAAAGGGCATGAGAAGGGGGATGTGCCAAGAGTTTCCCCAGAGTTTTCTGCTATCCAGACGTAAAGAACATTTAGAGCAGCTTTTGCGAATTCCTGGATTGATGGTTTGTGGTGCCAGGCCTTTCTCACAGGTTTGTGCCTTTTCAGTTTCCAAATGCCGGAGGAGAAAGTGTGCAGCGAGAGCCTGGTGAAATCACATTTTGTCGCTTGCATGGCTACCTGCCATTCCCTGACAAAAATTGAAGGGCTGCTGTCTGGTGACCCGCTCGATTTAAAGATGTTTGAAGCTATTGGATGGGTAAGTGCGGCCTTTCCTCCAACCGTTTGTTATGTCACCCCAAGGCGGAGGTGTCCTGACAGTTACTAGGTCTCTGGTCCAGGTGACGACGTGTGTGTTTGGGAGGTACCTGATGGCACTCTCTCCATGGCCCGTGCCTCGCACCTTCTTGCCAGCCATGGGGCACCTTTTCCAGGCTTCTCTGGTTCTCTTCCTTGTCTTGGTCAGGTCTTCTTCCCTTGGGGTGGCAGCTCTATTTGCCTTTGTTAGCCTTTGTTTTCCTTTGTACTCCTATGTACTTGATGCATTTAAAAACACGGTTCAGAGAAGGATTCCCTCGTGGTCCCCAGACAAAGCCCGGATGAAGCAGGCCTGCTCTGCGTGGTCTCTGCCGTCCACGACGTTAGCATCGCTCCCAGCCCTGCCCTGGAGATGGAGGAGCCCCTTGTTTGGTCTGTGAGCTCCAGCTCCTCTTCCTCTGAGCAGACACGTGTGGGCTGTGGGAGGGCTGGGGTCTGTGCCCAGGAGCTCCTGGGGCCTCCTCCAGGTGTTCTGGCTGCTGTCTGGGGTGGCTGGTTGCGGGGAGTCGGGGGAGGCTGTTTTCTCTCCTTCTTACTTTTCAGTTGAGTCCTTTGGATCAGATTTGCAAAATCCTGGCAAATAACCTTCTTGCCCGTCCTGCTCAGTTAGGCTGTTTACTTACCAGCATCCTTTCATTCCGATTTTAGTTGTGGTGCAGAAAACCAAATCAAGTCCTCAGAACCCGGCTTGTCTCTCTGTCTGTCTGCCAAACTCTCTGCTTTTCGTTTCTTCTTCTTCTTTTTTTTTTTTTTTTACAATAAACTTAAAACCAATCAACATTTTATTACACAAAAACCAGAAGAGAGGATTTTTGAGATTGGAAACGTGTTGTTTTTTTTGTTTTCTTAAGTCCAACATCATCTTTTTAGTGGCCAGCTGTTCGCCTCCTCTAGTTACACAGATTGGTGTCAGCGCTGGACACCCCTGGTTTTGACCGAGGAGTGCACGGCTTTTGTCGTCCTGAGGCTGGTGGTCAGGCTCTCTGCTCTTCTCGCCTCTCACTTTTGTAGCCCGCTCCCCTCGCACCGCGCCAGGCTTGTTGCAGGCTCTCGCCCAGGGGTTTCCTATCGCCAAGGGGCCTCTTCCTCTGCATGAATTAAAGCCCCTGCTCTGTGGATAGCAGATTTTAGGAAATCCAATTCACTGAAGTCATGGTAAAGTCTGGAAAAGCAACAGGCTTCGGCCTCCCTGTTTCTTATATTTAAAAAGAAGGTGTTCGTCCCATCCCGCAGTCGTGGACCGTTGTTTGGTGTGGCGGTCTGCTGGCCTTCCCCCGCCCCTCTCCCAGTGCTGAGCTCCTTCCAGCGAGGACAAGCCGGGGTGCCAAGGGTCTGCATCAGACCTGCGTGACGGCGGGGTTGCAGCCCGTGGAGAGGCCAGGCCGGGCCGCCTTTATCCTCCCTCCTCTCTCCTCAGATTCTCGAAGAAGCAACGGAGGAAGAGACTGCGCTTCACAACCGGATCATGCCCACCGTCGTCCGTCCCCCAAAGCAGCTTCTTCCTGAGCCCAAACCTGCAGCGAGCCAGTCAATGGTAGGATAGCGTGACGCGTTTTTGCTGTTGTTTGTGTGTTCGGTGTTAGAAAGCCTTCCCTGAGCCTCGCAGCCTCTTCGTGGCACGAGTTCATCCTCTGGAGAACTCGTGGTTCGTGCGTGGGTCCGCCACGTGGCCCACCTCCCTCGGTTCCCATTCCTTACGGAGCATGCGCTCAGAAGTGAATCAGTGGGATAGAAATGACCGTTCAGCAGCTTGCTGACAGTAAACGTCTGGGGCCTAAGGTAAGAGCAGGGAGATGCCTGCTGGGCCAGGTGTAGACCGCTGTGAGGGAGAGAGCCCATGCGGAGTCCAAGCCCAGTGAGGAATTCCCGTCAGCGCTGAGTTGCCCACAGGCTCCTGCACGCCGAGTGCCTGGAGTCCTCAAGCGTGGCAGAGCCTCCTGGAGGAGATGCGTGACGGGCCCGTGGGGGAAGGAGAGATGTGTCCCATTCCGTCGGTTTCCTTTACCAGTCCCCTGGTTGAGCCTTCTTGCATGGCTGCCTACCCTGTCCTCCTCTCTCCTCCTTTTCCAGCTATGCACTGCTGCCTGATGGACTCTCCCAGAGGCCGCACCCCGAGGGATGTTGGTGCCTTACCCGACCTCCCTCCTCAAACCCCTTTCTCTGTCCCCTGCTGCCTACTCCCTTCCTCCTTTCCCCCTTTCCCATGCCCAGACATCTCACTCTAAAAGTGGACTGCCTGCCCCTGAGGTGACATGCTTGCTTTCATTTTCAACCTTTTCCTTTCCCCATCTTCCCCCTTGAAGACACAAGCTCCCCAGATGCGCCCCCCCCCCGTTACACTTTCCTCTTACCCACTCCCCAGTGGAGGCAGGATATTCCACACTCCCCTCCGATCACACCAGCGCCTCGTTTGGGGCTCATGCTGTCCGTGTTTACTGCCCCATCATAGTTCAGGTTGTTGTTGCCTGCTGACCTCCAGGGTACTCGCCTTTCCTTCAGGAGTCTAGTGCCTGGCCGCTGGTCTTCCTCTCGTCCCTATCTCTTGTCCTCCTGCTTGGGAACTTGAGCAGACACGCTGACACTCCACCTCCCACTCCCCTGACCTCGCCATCCCTGGCGCGTACCCCAGTTCCATAGCCATGAACTCTGCCAGTCTGTTGGCGTTCCCAAACCCTGCTCTTCCTCCTCCCCACGATCTCCAGGCTCTCAACCCCTCAGCACCACTCTCCCGACTACGTTCTCCTTGCTCCTTCTGGACTCTGGGGCACCAGCTTGGCCACGCACACTGTCCTCCTCTCCCCAGTGCTTTGCCCCCTCATCTCATGGCCACCCCCAGCCTTGGATCACTCCCACCTTCCCACTGCTGGTGAATGAGGTTGGGGAACAGTCACAGAACTGGGCTGTCACACAGCTTCTCTGGGCCCTCAGTCTGACAAGTCAATCTTTTTATACTTCCTCGATTGACTTAGCTGGGGCAGTTAGGTGTTGCAGCGTACAGAGCACCAGGCCTGGAGTCAGGAAGACTCAGGCACTGATTAGCTGTGTGACCCTGGCCACATCACGTCACCCTGTTGGCCTCAGTTTCCTCATCTGCAAAATGAGCTGTAGTAGGTAGTGGCTAACCACTCCAGTATCCTTGCCAAGAAAACACTGAATGGCTTCTTGAAGAGTCAGACATGACAGAAATGAACGAACTGTCCCCCCTTCCAGAGCAGCTCTCGCACACCTTTTCATGCCTCCTCGAACCTCCCATGGCTCCCTTCTCTGCACGGTCCCAGCTGTCGGCGATCTTCCTAAAGCACGGGCCGAGCCTGGCCCTCCTCCCCCAGCATCCCCATTCAGTAAGCTCCTGAGGCTCTTCTGCTGGGGCTCAGAGCCTTCATCGCCTGCCCCTCCTGCCTTTGCCCTGACAGCTCTGATCCTGAGACCAGCCTCCTGCCAGTCTCTTTCCTTCGCTTTGCTCTCTTCCCTGATACTGTTGTTCTCCCTCTGAGGGTAGCTCCAGTGTGTCCTTGCCAGCTCTTGTTAGGGTTAGGTGGCACACAGTTGGGGCCGTGGTGTCTCCCCTGTTGGGCAGGGACTGGTTTTTGCCTTCCTTTGTTTCTCAGCACTTGGCACCTATGAGGTGCTTGCTGACTGATACACTGAGTGGATGAAGAATCTTTATTGCCCAAATTCCAGTGTGTATCAGAAGCAGAAAGCCCCCCTGGAGAACTTGTCTGTGACATTATGTGTCTGGAACTCTGTGTGTAGATGGGCCAGGAGGTGAGCCCAGACTCTGGCAGGAGAGGAAATGGTAGAGCTCCTTGGCTGGCCTCAGGCTTCCCCAGAAGCCAGGGCTCATCTCCTGGGTATGAGCAGTGTGCTGACATCGTGCCATGATGTGGAATGCCCATGCTAGGTGGAGGGAGGCCTAGTGGAGGGCCAGCAGGCTCTGACGTGTTGTGAGGAAGACGTGTGGCACCTTGGGAGCCCTGGGAGGGCTTGAGCCAGAGCTGTCCCTGGTGCCCACGCAGGGCTGGCTTGTGGTCAGCCTCACTGGAGGCTTCCTGGATGCCTGGCTGCATTGCAGAGATGGGGAGTGAAAGTTCTCTTTGTGAAGCATTTTACCGTGAGCCCCCTTAGTACCATGTCTCAGTGGCCTGGCCTGTCTTCAAGCACCAGGAAAGGCTGGGCCTGGGTGGGCCCAGTTTGCTTTCTCTTCAGATTCGCAGTTCCTCCCGACGCTCCCCAAATGAAGAACATTTGTAAACTTTATGGTGGCACTCACACCCTAGTAATGTCTGATTTTTCTCTTTCTCTTTTCAGGAGCTTTTTGAGCTTTCCGTAAGTGTCGTCTCTTACTTTCTTCCTGAGTCATTTATTTGGGGGTTGGGGGAGTGGGAGTGGCCACTGTGGCTATGGGGTGATGCCCACTGCATATTTCTCACAGGCCAACTATGAGATAGGAATTGTTCGGCAGTTTCCATTTTCTTCTGCCTTGCAACGAATGAGTGTAGTGGCCCGAATTCTGGGGGACAAAAAGATGGACGCGTACATGAAGGGGGCCCCGGAGGTCGTCGCCAGCCTTTGTAAATCAGAGACGGGTAAGGCATGTGTGCAGTGGGGCGAGAAGCCCAGGGCCGGCTCTCAGGCTCTTGGGCAGACACCAAAGCCTCTGGTTTTCTTTCAGTTCCCAGTGACTTTGAAAAAGTGTTAGAAGACTACACGAAGCAGGGCTTCCGGGTGATCGCTCTGGCACACCGCAAACTGGAATCCAAGCTGACATGGCACAAGATCCAGAACATTAATAGGTGAGAGGCATGGGGGTTTTGCTCCTGGTGAGGGGTATTTAACATAAATGATAGACTGTTTCCTTTTAAATGCTGGGGTTGAGGTGAAAAGGCCAGTCTTTGACCGTAGATTTCCCAGGGGCTCCTTGCTCATCTGTGTTATCAGGCAGCAGGTGAGCCTCCCCTTCCTGGGGGGCCTTCTTCTGGCTCCCCCACTGTGGGGCGTCCACCTCTTGCTTTGGCATTGGAGGCGTACCCTGTGCGTGCAGGTGCTCTCAGATTCATCTATAGCACGATCATGACCTCTCCTGCTACCTTCTGTTCATTTTGTATGTGTTCTCCCGCTATTTCATTTGTTTTTGTATTCCTCCCATGTTGCATGGTGCCTGGCCCTTACTAAATGCTTGTGGATTGAGTGATACCTGATGGATGTGAGAGAAATGACGTGTCTTCATTTGCTGGATTGGGGCTTTTTCAGCCTCTCCATCTTTCATGAGGTCTTGTGCCTTAACCTAGGAAAATAATTCAAGTCTAAAGTAGAGCAAGGCAAAAGGGCTCTGTGTGTGTGTGGGGGGGGGGGGGGGTCTGGCTGTTAGGCGTATGGGAAGGGCCATTCAAATGAGGATCTTTAAATATATCAGTGAGTGAACCCAGGGACAGTGAGGACAACAGAAAGAGAGGAAGTGACTGGTCCAGAGACAGTCCCCCAGGAGAAAGGGAAGGGATGAGAAGAGAGTCCAAGTAGGGGCACCAAGGTGAAGGGAAGGTGGTGAATGGTGGAAGGGAGAAGAGGGAGGGAGGGAGGCTCATGGCCGAGAGCAGTGAGTCAGCCAGTTGGTGTAGTCAGTGACTCCTGTGTGTGCCAGCTGCCGGGTAAGGGCTGCCTGCCGCCATTTGCCTCCATGTATTCCTTCAGCTTTCCCTCACTTCACCATGGCCTGCAGGCTAGTTTGCATCTCTGCTGCTCTCTCCAGGGCTATCATCACCTTCTGTTTGGCCTCCTTGCAGCTATTAATAGTGGCAACCATCCTTCCGTTTTTTCTGAACTTTCCCTTTCGTGGTCTGCTTGGAGAGCTTTCTCTCTTGGTTCTTCTGTGTTTTCAGTATGCTTTGTGAGACCATCCTATGTCTTCCCCAAGGCTTGGTCTTTTTATCTTTTTTTTGGTCTGTATTTATCTCCCATGAATTCTATTATCTCTGTACTCCTTCATGTCCTGGAGGCATCTCCAAGTTAAACATTCCAACCCTAAGACTTCACTCTCCCATACTTTCTCATACTATCACTTGCCAAATCTTATTGATTCTAATTGGACAGCATCTCTCTCAGCCCTCTTCATCAGTCAGTCAATAAACATTTATTAAGTGACTGCTCTGTGGAATTCAGCAAAAACTATTTGTAGAGCAAAAATGTCAATATGGACTTGTTATAAGCACATGGTAACTTCTCAAGGAGCTCACTGTCTAATGAGGGAGAATAGCAAATCAACAAATAGGCACAAAGCAAGCTTGATACAGGATAAATAGGAAATAATCATAATTAGAGTTAAGAGGGGGTGGAAAAGGCTTCCTGTAGAAGTTGAGATTTTAATTGGGACTTAAAGGAAGCCAGGGAAGCCAGGAGATGGAGATGAGGAGGGAGAGCATTTCAGGCAGCAGAGATGGCCAGAAAATGGCCAGAGATGAGAGATGGAAGATCTTGTTGGTGGAACAGCCAGGAAGCCAGGGTCATTGGATCGGAGAGTATGGGAGTCGGGGGAGGGAATGAGGTATAAGGAGACTGGAAGGGGTGGGGGCAGGTTATGAAGGGCTTTGAATGTCAAGTAGAGGATTTTGTATTTGATCTTGGAGGTTATAGTGAGCCACTGGGCAGGGACCCTACCCCCCCCCCCCCCCAGGCAGCTTTTGCCATAGTCCAGGGATGAGGTAAGGAGGGTCTATACCAGGATAGGGGCAGGGTGTCAGCAGAAAGAAGGGTGGGTATTGGAGAGATGCTGCAGAGGTGAAATTGATCAGAGATGCAGCAGAGGCAAAGATGGACCAGAGATGTTGTAGAGGTGAAATGGACCAGAGATGCTGCAGAGATGAAATGGACCAGAGATGCTGCAGAGGTGAAATTGACCAGAGATGGCACAAAAGTGAAATTGACCAGAGATGCTGCAGAAAGGAAATGGACCGGAGATGCTACAAAAGTGAAATTGACCAGAGGTGCTGCTGAGGTGAAGTTGACAAGCCTTGACCACAGCCTGGATGTAGAGGGTGAGAGAGTGAAGGGTCCAGAATGATTCCTAGGTTGTGAGCCAGAGGGTCTAGAAGGAGGGCATTGCCTTCTATAGTAACAGGAAAGATAAGAGTAGGTGGGGGATATCTTCGGGAGAAAGAATGAGTTTTGTTTTGGACACATTGAAAGTTTAAGATGTCTGCTGGACCTTCAGTTTGAGATGTCTAAAAAGCAACTGGAGATATAAGGATGGAGGTCAGCAGAGAGGTTAGGGGGAAGGTAGGTGAATTTGTGAATCATCAGTATAGAGATGGTAATTAAACCCATGTGAGCTGATGAGATCACCAAGTGAAGTACTCTCGAGGGAGAACAGAAGAGGGCCCAAGACAGAACCCTGAGGGATATGTGTGGTTAGAGGGCATGATCTGGAGGAGGATCCAGCAAAGGAGTGGTCAGAGAGGGAAGTGGAGAACCAGGAGAGAGTGGGGAGTCCCAAAAACCTAGAGAGAAGAGAGTATCACGGAGGAGAGGGTGATTGACAGAGTCAAAGGCGGCAGCCAGGTCAAGGAGAATGAGGATTGAGAAAAGGCTGTTGAATTCCACAAGAGATCGCTGGTGACTTTGGAGAGAAGTTTCAGTGGAGTGACCAGATCAGAAGTGGCCCCCTAGACTAGGAGCTCCTAGTTTAATGAGGGAGTCAATCAATTGTGTCCCCAACCTGAGGGCCCCCTCTTAGCTGTCTCCTCCAAGCATTCTGTGCTCTTCCTGCTCCCCCAGCCCCTAGACTGGAATGCTTCTCACCTCACCTCTTAGAATCACCCACTGTGTTCTTCAGAACTCAGCTGAGATGTACGGGCGAGTCCTTTCCTAGAGCCTTCCTTTCCCTCCAATCTCCTGTCAGCCCTGCCCCCGCAGAACAGGAGGCCCATTTTCTTCCTTTGTCTTCCCACCCCCATGGCTCACCCCAGTGCTGGTCCATGGAGGGTGAGTACCAGAGGAGAGAGACTCCTCCGACCAGCATCTGGGCTTCCATGAAGTAGGTGCCTAATCAGACATTCAGTTCATCTTTATTATGAACATGACAGTCATCAGCAAAGGGGAACATTTCATAATACAGCCAGGAAGTGGATTCACAGGAAGCTCGGCTGTTTACAGTTTACTTTGAAAGTGATTGTTCCTGTAATGTGGTAGTTGCACCATGGCCTTTGTTGTTTGGAGCGTTTTACTGAGGCTCTCTGCTTTCTTTCTGCCCCATTGTCTCCTCCTGTACTCAGCTCACTGACCATGGCACACAGTGTGTCTTGCCAGCCTTTTCACATGTTCATCTCCATCTGTGCATACGTTTGGCTTGTATGACTGAGCATTTTCGTTGATTTGATATTTGGACAGTTCTGACTCGATTCACTCTCTGTGCCTGCCCGAGTGCCCCTGCCCCTGCATCCGACAGTTGTCACTGCCCATTGGCGCCCATGACTTCCTTCTGACCTTGTGCCTCGATCTCCCCACTTATTTGCGCCCTCTCCTTCTCAGAGGGCTTGCATTGCTGTTTTACATATTCTGTATTTTCTCATTTTACACACACTCATTTCAGATTGATAAGATGAAGACTTGTGGGGGGCCCAGGCCACGTTCCTTTGTCTGTCTCCATCCCAGGGTCTCGCGTGGACCAAGGTTTAATACTGGGTGCTGCCTTCTTGATTCGTTGAAGATGAGAACAAGCAAATCTAATGAGCACCTTGCATTTTACAGAGATGCCATTGAAAGCAACATGGATTTTATGGGATTAATTGTGATGCAGAACAAATTGAAACAAGAAACCCCTGCTGTTCTTGAAGATTTGCGTAAAGCCAACATCCGTGCGGTCATGGTCACAGGTGAGCTTTAGCGCAGGCCACGCCGTGTGCGGCTCTCCCAGGGACCTTTCGCTCCGCCCTGCTGGTTTTCCCTTTAGTCAAGGTCTTCCTCTAAGAATCACTGCTTCATTCTTGTCTAGACAGCAAGGGCCTGCCGTGGCGCTCACAGGTGTACTCACAGGTGCACTCTGCAGGTTCCATGGGGGACATCTAGAAGCCTAGGGCTTTTGGTAGGCGCGGATGGTCTGCAGTGCCATCACTGAAGGGAACTTCCCAATCTGGGTGCTGCCAGGGAAGGCCATTTGAGTATTTGATAAAGAGATGATGATACACTTGTCACACTGGTCTCTCCTCATTTCACCATAAACATTACACATACGAGGAGAACAAAGGAAGGGCTGAGAATGTTATGGGGAATTATAGGAAGACAGAGCACAACTTAAGAATGTGGTCTAAAGGGGCAGCTAGGTGGTGCGTTGGATAGAGCACCAGCCTTGAAGTCAGGAGGACCTGAGTTCAAATCCGGCCTCACACCAGACACTTGTCATGTTCTAGCTGTGTGACCTTGGGCAAGTCACTTAACCCCAATTGCCTCACTCAAAAAAAAACAACAAAAAAAAAGAACGTGGTCTAAAGGCCTTTGAGATGAAAAGATTCAGATGTTTTCAGCCTTGGTGCCCTGGTTCCTTTTTTTCATGAAGTGGGGTGGTCATTCTTGATGTGGAGGGAGGAGTTAAAGCTTCTGGAGGGCAGACATTGTCTTGTCCGTACAGTTGATGTTTTCAGCTTGACTTTTATGTTTTGGTGAGCAGGCGACAATATGTTAACTGCTATCTCCGTGGCCAGAGACTGTGGAATGATTCTACCTCAGGATAAAGTGATTATTGCGGATGGACTACCTCCCAAGGACGGACAAGCGGCCAAAATAAATTGGCATTATGCAGACACTCTAACCACAAAATGCACTAGCTCTCCAGAGATCGACTCTGAGGTGATTGCCTGATGAAGGCTTGTTGATGAGGATCGGTTCAGATCCTGGTCTGTCACTGTATAGGGAAAATCCCACACCCTGTTTACTTTTCAGTAGGTCATTTAGCTTGGTTATTTATTTTCCTTTAAAGCGCAATCCTTTTTTATCTATAAAACTAGGACTACTTTTATTTTTTTTCTTGTATATTCATTTATTTATTTTTAAATATTTTTGTTTTTAAAATTTATTTTTAAATTACATATAAAAACATTTTTTAACATCTATTTTAAAAACTGAGTTCCAAATTCTCTCCCTTCCTCCCTCCTCTCCCCCCATTGAGAAGGCAAGGAGTTTGATATAGGCTATACATGTGTAGTCCTACAAAACACTTCCATATCCATAATAGTCATATTGTGAAAGAAAGCATAGACAAAAAAACCTCTAGAAAATGAAGTAAAAAAGTCTGCTTCAATCTGCATTCAGACCCCGTCAGTTCTTTGTCTGGGGCTGTGTAGGATTTTTCGTCCTAAATCTTTCAGAGTTGTCTTGGATGGCTGTATTGCTGAGAACAGCTAAGTCTCTCACAGCTGATCATTGCACAATACTGCTGTTACTTTGTACACAGTCCGTGTCACTTTGCATCAGCCCATGCGAGTCTTTCCAGGATTTTCTGAGAGCATCCTGCTCATCGTTTCTTATAACACAATAGGATTCCATCGCAGTCATATCACAACTTGTTCAGCCATTCCCCAGTTGATGGGCCTCACTTCAATTTCCCATTCTTTGCCACCAGAAAAGAGCTGCTCTAAACTTTTTTGTACACATAGGCCCTTTCCCTCTCCTTTTTTTTTTTTTAACCTCTTGGATACAGACCTAGTGGTGGTATTGCTGGGTTGCAGGGTGTGCATAGTTTTATAGTCCTTTGGGCATAATTTGGATACTTTTAGAGACAGTTGTTGGAGGTCCAGTTAGGCAAAGCTTTCCCGTCAGTCGAGTTCTTTCTGTTGGTGACTGAGTGTTGTTTGACTGTGCAGGATATCCCCATTAAGTTGGCCCACGACAGTCTAGAGGATCTTCAGATGGCCCCCTATCATTTTGCAATGAACGGAAAGTCATTTTCTGTGATCCTGGAGCACTTTCAGGACCTGGTGCCCAAGGTTAGTGCTGTGGGGGGGGGGGGGGGGGGGGGGGGGGGGGGCATGCATGGTGTGGGCGTACGTTTGTGCGGGTGCAGCCAAAGATTTCTAAGAAATGTGTTTTTTCCAGTTGGTGTTGCATGGCACCGTGTTCGCGCGCATGGCCCCTGATCAGAAGACGCAGCTGGTCGAAGCATTGCAGAATGTGGAGTGAGTAAGCCTGGCTTTTTAAAGCCCTCCGCTGCCCTAAATTATATTTGTGGAGCGCTTTGTAAAGTAGAATTCTTTTTATTCTGTTACTCTTATTTAACTAGGAAAAAAACTTGTTAATTTTTGTTTAAGTTTGTGAAGAAAATATCTTTATTCCCCTAAAAAGATTTTAGGAAAAAACAGCAATGTGATTTGTACATATTTTTACACATTTGAGTTTGGCTACTGTGGGTTTATAACAGGTCCAGATTTACTTTTGTGCTTTAAAAGCAGTTTTTGTTTAGCTCTGCAGTTTAGTACAGTGCCTGGCACGTAGTAGGCCCTTTATAAGTGTGTATGGAGTCCTTGTCCTGTTAGCCCTCCTGAAGGGAGAAGGGGCTGAGCCTGAGCAGGAGCATCTCACCCGGCGCCTTGGAGGGCCCGCAGGGGGTCCCGCATAAGAAGCAGCAGGACATGGCATGGGCCTGGAGCCCAGCTGCTCAGGTTCCAAAGCCAGCCTGCCGTCTGCTGCTTCAGCAGGGCCCTATGTAACAGTGGGTCAGATGACCCTGGAGAGCCCGTGGGCCTTGACATTGGATGCCCCAGAGCTTGGGAGGGCTGTGTGGGAGAGAATGCCCTGCCGGCTACGGATGCATCAGAATTCTGTGTTTTTGTTGTAGTTACTACGTGGGAATGTGTGGTGACGGTGCCAATGATTGTGGGGTAAGTGTCTCTTCACTGGGTGTGGAGCTGCCTTAAGTTAGGCTTCTGCCTCATACTAACCCAACTGACTGGTCTTCTCCTGCTGGCCAGGCCTTGAAGAAGGCCCATGGAGGCATATCCCTGTCTGAGCTCGAGGCTTCCGTGGCGTCCCCCTTCACCTCAAGGACCCCTAGTATTGCTTGTGTGCCAAACCTCATCAGGTGAGCATGGTTCTGTTCCTGAGTCTTCACCCCGGGGAGAGTTGTGTGGGGAGGGTTGAGGCCCAGATGCCCCTGCTCCCTGGTTGTTGTAGGGGAGGGCGCCTGGTTTAGCTGGGACCCTGGGGTGGTGCGGGGAGGGCTGAGACCCGTGAGGGGCTTTTTTCCCATGCAGGTGTCCTTTCTCTTCCTTTTACAGGGAAGGCCGGGCAGCTTTGATAACTTCCTTCTGCGTATTTAAATTCATGGCTTTGTACAGCATCATCCAGTACTGTAGTGTCACTTTGCTGTACTCGGTGAGTGGCCGGGCTGGGGCAGGATCGTTTGTCCAAATGTTGGCACCAGTGGCAGGGTGTGGGGGGCGCGGTCTTGGAGCACGTACATTTTCATCATCCTCTTTCTTGGGAGCACAGATTATGCCCCTGTCCCTTAATGTGTCCTTTTACTAAAGCTAAGGCCCGTTAAATAGGGGGAGAGTGGGAAAGAGGCTTCCTGCCCTGCCCACTGCCCCATCCCCCTGCCCTCTGGTTAGCACAAGCAGGACTCTGTCTGTGGGAACAGAAGCGTAGAGAAGAGGTGAAATGCTGGGGAGCGTTTCCGAGCTTCGTGTGAGATACCACTCCTTTTGCTCACCCTGGTCACTAGTTGGCAGGCAATACCCAGAATTCTGGGGGCACAAGACACCCCATCTACCGGTGGTAAACCCTGAGGGAAATGTCTGTGTGGGCGAGCGCCATGCCGTGTTGGTGTTGTGGCTCCCCAAACAGTGATTCTTCTTTCTCGGTGGAGGAAAGCGGTGTTCTTCCCAGACCCTCCTTCCCAGACCGTTATCTTAGCACCAAATGTGTCACGTATAGGATACAAAAGTTTTAGTCTGGTAATCCTTTGTAAGTGGTTCGGCTTTGTGTTGTTTTCTTGTTTTTTGTTTTTGTCTTTGTTTTTGACAGAAGACATTTTAATCATCAGTTGGGTGATTTATTTCTAGTGTGTCCACTTGAATGTTTCTAATTTATGCAATTAAAATATTATCTTGTTATACTTCAAGTGACATTTGATTTTGACCATTCAAATCTAAGAGTCATTTTAAGTTTGTAGATCAATATTTAAAAATAACTGTGCCTGTTGTTGATTTTACTGGGTGTATGGCAATGTTATTGATTACAAATACTCTAAAAATGATTTCCTTAGATCCTGAGTAATTTAGGAGATTTCCAGTTCCTTTTCATTGATCTGGCCATCATCTTGGTAGTGGTATTTACAAGTGAGTATTTGTTCTTATTTTTCAAAAAATCTTGAATTATATACTTTATTAAAATTATTTTCTAAATAAAGCTGTTGCCAATTTTAAGATTAAAATAAAATGTAGAAACAGTGACTTGGTTGTTTGCCCCAGCCTGATGCTGGCACCCGGACGGACCGCTCTTTCCTTTGCAGTTTTAGACTTTTCACAGAAGCCCCTTCCCGCTTCCACACTCCAGAAATCTCATTCCAGTGAGGCCTCGGTGGCTCTTGGCCCTGCAGCGCCCCCTCTCGGCTCTTGCTCAGGTGTCAGCCTTGTGACTCTGCCCCTGTCCCCTTGCGCCTTCTCCCTCAGCCTCTCCCCAGCTGCTGGCTTCTGCTCTGCTGCCTGCAGGCATCCCCTCGTCTCCTTCGGGCTCCCTTCCCTGGATCCCACCCGTCCCTACCAGCCTCATTCTCAGCACCCTCCTTCCCTCCCTTCTCATCCTTCTTGACCTCTTGGTAACCTCAGAGGCTGCTGATCACTCCCTGCTCTCTCGTGCCCACCTACCCACTCTCAGTCTCTGTTGCTCGATTCTCCCCTGAGGCTCGATCCTGGGCCCTCTTCTCTTCATTCTGTCCCGTCTCAGTTGGACTTGTCATCTCTGTCCAGGTGAGGTCCACATCTGTGTCTGCGTGTCTGGCCTCAGGTCGTGGGCAGACTTCCTTGGGTAGCCCAGGAGACTCTGTTCAGAGCAGGGCCGGTCATCTTCCCCCACTTCCTTCTCCCAGCACCATCTCCCAGGCCTCCGGGCCTGCATCTGGGTTCTCACTGTCAACAATTCTCTTACCCCAGACATCCGATTCGATGAAGAGAAGGGAACAGAATAAGCTCTCTTACAAATAGGATCGATCTTCTTGGGAGGTAGGTGCTGCCTACTTGCCAGTGGAGGAAACTGAGGCAGACAGTGAGCAGCTTAGTGCTTTGCCCAGGGTTGCCCAGCCAGAAGTATTGGAAGCTGCATTGGAACTCGGGGCCCAGCACTCTGGGCACCGTGCCACCAGTCAGCATTGTCATCTCAACCTTTGCACCGTTGAGGGTGTTTCTCTCTTCTCCGCTCACCTAGCCTATCCCCGTCGCTGGCCTCCTTCATGTGTCTCCCCATTCAGCGGCCAGGGTGGTCTTGAGACTTGTCGTTCCTCCTCAAGAAACTGCAGTGCACTGTTCAGGCCCTTCCAGAGCTGGCTCCATCGCCTTTTCAGTCTGATTATTCTTTCAGCCAGCCGTCCTAGTCTACTTACTGTCGCTTGAATAGGAGATTCTCCTCTCTGCACCTTTGCCCAGTCTGTGCCTTATGTCTGGAGTGCTCTGCCCCCTTGTCTCCATCTCCTTGTTCTCCTGTAGATTCCTCCCAAAGGCCACTTTCTGCAGGAAGTCCTTGGCAGTGTGCCCCGCCTCTGGCCTTGTCCCCAAGCAGTGACCTTCTGAGCACCCGACAGTTCAACAATTCACAGCCTGTTTCCCTTGGTAGAGGAGAAGCTTCTCGAGGGCAGAGGCTACTTTGTCTGTCTATCCCTTTATGCATGACAGGTGCCTGGCACATAATAAGGACCTAATAAAAACTGAAATGAAGATAGGGAAACTTGTCAGTAAGTCTTTCTTCCGAATCACATGTTGATTCCCTTTTCTCTGCCCTTGAATATCTCTTAGATCATTAATGGGAAGGCAGTGCTGATCATAGTCCTGCTCCCCCGCCTAAGCCCTTAGCCTCAGAAGGCAGAGCTCTGGGGGCCTGGCGTGCCCAGGCGCCTTCAGCACCTGCGGCCAGGGAGCGGCTGCTTTTCCTCTGGTCTCCTGCCCTTATTTCCCAATGTGTCCACACGTGGGGAAGACACCCCTCAGAGCTCTGGAAGCTTCTCTTGAGAGCATCTTCACCAGAAATAACGTCCCAGCTTAACGTTTTCCATTCCTTCCCACAGTGAGTTTAAATCCCGCGTGGAAGGAACTCGTCGCCCAAAGACCACCCTCAGGCCTCATCTCTGGGGCTCTCCTCTTCTCGGTCCTGTCTCAGATCATCATTTCCATCGGCTTCCAATGTTTTGGCTTTTTTTGGGTTAGACAGCAGCCTTGGTATGAACATTGGACTCCACATTCAGAGTAAGTTGACCCATGATTTTAAAATAGACTTCAAGACGGTAATTGGATACAAATGGCCCCAAAATTTGCTGCTTCTGTTCTCCCGTCTTCTCCTCTCCAACATCTCCCCCAACCCCCCAACCAAAAAAAAAAAATATCACCCTGCCAAAAAGGTTTCCATGTAATACAGTTTGTAGACTTTGGCCAGTGTCTCCCTTGTAAAACAGGATGTTCGTTATGACAATTTTAGTGCCTAGCACCCTGCACCTGCAGTTGGAATAGTCTTCTGTGTTTCCTGTAATGGAGTCTCCTGTTGTCTCTCTTTCTGCCTGTTTCTCTGATCCAGGCTGAAGGTGACCAGCTAGCTTCCCATTTATCGAGGCAAAAAGCTTTTGTTAAAACCAAAGCTATTATCCTAGAAAATGGCGAAAGTGATAAACATCGTCAATTCACGATTTACAGGTTATTCTTCCAACATTGGCTTACAATGAATGAATGAAATTGTGCTCTGTTTTACTGTGTGTATGTAAATGGGTGCCACCTGATGCCCACTCCCACCCACCTATCCTGTTCAGCCCCGGAAGGTGAGAGCTGCTCCCTGCTCCCGGGAGGTTTGCCTGCTCCAGGGCAGGCACATATGAGGGGGTGAGAAGATTGTGATCTTGTCTGGTTCTTTCTTAGTATCCCTTGTCTTTGGTCTCTGTTGGCCCCACACTGAACTGCCTCATGGCCAGCACAGCTTCATTCATTTCTCCTCATGCTTCCCATTGCCCTCCGTGGGGACGCTGAGCTTTGAATTGGTTTTCTGAGAGCTGACGTTCAGGACTGGCATGAGACCTTGGAAAGGAGCCATCGTGTGTAAAAGACTTTCCAGGATGTGTTTGCCCTGACACTCCAGTGTTAGCCTTGTGACTTTTTCTTTGTACTGTTGAATCACAATGTGCATCATTTTATAAAGAAATGGACATTTTTCATGCACCTGACTTCAGGGCTCCCCCTGTCTGCCTCTCTGGATTTCAGACTTGCTTTCAACAGATTGCTTATATCCCATCCTGCCACTGAGAAGCCAACAGTTTTTTCATAGATGAATCCCACCTCCTTCAGGCAAACTCAGGACCAGAATGCCCCCAAGACGGGCTTTGGTTTCTTAGGGCAGTGACTTTAGCCCTGACAGTCAGGCAGGGTCTTTGAGCCACACCACGGCCTGCATTCAGATGCCCTCTGCCAGCGGGAGTCCATGGCATTGTCTTTCCAGTTGGACGTTTTTAGAGTAGACACTGCACCTGTGCTGTGTGTCATTGGGGCTTGAAGAAGCTTGTCTTGCAACTTCTTGGCCTGAAAGTGCCCAAGCTAGGGCAGGCAGGTGGGCAGGGTGGTCCCCAGCCTCAGGTGGTGGGGGCCATGTTGAGGGATCATGCTGAGAATGGCAGCATCTCGTCTTCTGTTGCAGTGCGTGTAACCTGTCTAGAAGCTTCTCTACCAACTCGTCCCACTCTGACAATGAGACTGAACATGATGAGCACAACATAAAAAATTATGAGAACACCACCGTGTTTTTTATCTCCTGCTTCCAGTACCTGATTGTGGCCATCGCTTTTTCTAAAGGAAAGCCATTTAGGCAGCCCTGCTACAAAAACGGTGAGTTCAAGCAAAAGCTGCTCCCTGCTCTTCCCAGGCTCTCCACTCCTGTCTCGGCTGGACCCTCATCTTAAAAGAAGATGGGCCACACTTGGGACACGCTGTGTAATTTCCCTCTCCTTAGGTTCTTTGACTCCTGGGATCCCCGGGACCTCCATTCCTTTCTCTGCCAAGGATGCAGTGGGAGAGAGACAGGGGCAACTGGGAGAGGACAGATGGATGTAGGGCAGGCTGGGCCAGCAGGGGGCCAAGAAGGTCATCAGCATGACCTCTGGGGTCTAAGAACTCCGGTTTTCTGGGTAGTCGAGGCATTTAGGGCTAATGATGTAGATAGATAGTAAGTTTGTTGTGCTAATAGAACAGAGGGATCTCATTAATATTTGGGTTTAGAAAATGCCCTTTGTATTATCATTAGTAAGAATATTGATAGTTGTATACACAGAGAGTCAGATTTTCAGAGAACAGGAACATAGGCATGAAACTTTGTTCATCTTTGATTCAGAAGGTCTTTCCAGACTTCAGGTGCCCTGGGAGGGGTCAGCAGAGGGAGGTATTCTGGCAGGGGTCCTTAGTTGTGGACTCCACGCCTTCTAAAGGCCCTTCCGGGGCTAAAATCTCTGGTCCTGTGATGAAATGCCAAAGGTCAGAGAGATCCCAGGCCTCTGGCCCTGGCCTGGCCTGTTTGTCAGAGGGAATGCTGGGAGACGTGGAAAGGCTTCTCTAGGCTTCCAAGTGCTGTGGAAGGGTCTGTTGTTTTCATTTTCCTGAAATGCTGAGTCAGGGAGCCTTTATTAAGGGCCAACTGTGTGCCGGCACAGGGGAGAGATGGGGGGGGGGGGGGGGGGAAACACCAGCTCTCAATGGGCTGCGGTAGAGACAGCCTCCGAGGGGAAGGACAGACTGGGCTGTCTGGGAAGGCTTCTTGGAGGAGGAGACCTCTGTCTTAGGCTTTCTAGCCATGGGGAGCAGTGAGAAATCCAGTCCTTGGATTGGGGAAGCAAGGGATAGGAAGCTGGTGTAAAGGGCTTATGAAGCCTCAGAGGGTTTGATATTTGATCCTGGAGGCAAGAGCGGAGCTGCTGGATTTGTCGACTAGGAGAGTGACATGATCACGGCGATACGGAACCGAGCAGAAGATGGGCCGGAGGCAGGCAGCCCCAGCAGCCACTGCTGCTGCAGTCCAGATGTGAGGGGAGCAAGGGCTGCCCCCGGAGAGAAGGAAGTGTGTCGACAGGACGTGGCAGCCGACGGGATCTGGGGGGCTCCTGGTCTGTGCCTTGTAAGCATGCTCAGCATCACTCTGGGTGTAGAGCACTAGCAGCTTTTAGGGGATTGAGAAATCTTGGGCAAACTGCTTGAGATGAACTTTGGGTGTGCTAGGGGTGCCGGAGTGTGCAGAGCACTGGGCCAAGAGTCAGTAAGACCAGAGTTCACATCCAGTCTCAGATACTTACTGGCTGTGTGACCCTGAACAAGTCATTTCACCTCTGTCTGCCTCAGTTTCCACATCTGTAAAATGGAGATAATAATAGCACCTGCCTCTCAGGGTTGTTGTGAAGGTCAAATGAGATACTACCTGTAAGGCACCTACTCCAGTGCCTGGCACACAGTAGGCGCTCTATAAATGCTTATCCCCTCCCCCACACCCACCCCCAGTTTGAAGGAAACTAATGCTTCTGAGAGGTGAGGAGGAAGAAAATTCCAGGTGTGGTCAGTGCCCCTCAGGTGTGAGAAGTAGCAGGCGAGTTGGTTTGGCCCGGTGCTCGCAAAGGGGGTGATATCTGCTGGGCCTGGGAAGGTAGTCAGGAACTAGGGTGGGAAGGACTTCCGTCTGTCAGTGATGTCAGTGGTGCACTGACCACGTTGACCTATGGCCTGTCAGTGGTGGGTTGTCCGTGGCAGTCCTGTCTTCTCTCTCCTCCTCTCTTCCCTGTCTCCTTCATGACACCAGTTAACTTCTTATGTGCTGTAGGCCTGACCTGGACAGGACCCAACCCAACCATAGTGAGGTCGGGCCACCATCTTGAATCTTGTCCCACAGAAACCTGTCCATTAAGCTTGCCCTCTAACCAGCCTTTTCTTTCCACAAATCCTTTGAGATTTCACAAATCAAGGAAATTGGGCAAAGGGGCTTTATTTGGGCCATTTGGTGAGATTGGCTGTCGCATCTAGAGCATGTAGTTTGATCTTATATTTGGCATTTTTGTCATTGGTGGAATTTATCAGTACCAAAAGAGCTCAGATCTGATTTAATAATACAGATTTTGTCTCTCTATACAAAACCTGTTCTTTTAATAAGATGCTTTGCTCATTGTTCTTATGTGTTGGAGAAATGCCAGTAGTTTTATTACAAATAGCAAACGTCCTGGGTCTGTCTGAGTTTGTGAAAGCTTACAGAATCTACGCCTGCTATCCTGAGCAAGGCCTACAGTGCCCTGCCCTCCCATTGGACAAAAGTGCCAATTGTGAGTGAACATGGAGAGAATGTGCTGTCTGTGATCTCACCAACAACAGTCAGGCTTAGGACATTAAAATGAAAGCTGTGGAATGTCTGGAGGAACTGATGGTGTGGTGAACCTGGCAGAAGCAAACGATTAACCAAATACTGGTTTTCTTTTTCAGGCTTTTTTGTTGTGTCTGTGATTATTTTGTATATCTTCATATTTTTCATCATGTTGCATCCTGTTGCCTATATTGACCAGGTTCTTGAGGTAAGAGTGCATATCTTTGTCACCAAACCCTTCCCTGAATGTTCATTTTGCTCATAGTGGTGACTAGATTAGGCAGAGCAGCACAAGCCAGTAGGCAGGAGGGCCCCAGGCTCCCCTGCTGACCATCCTCTGTGGGAAGCAGATAGCCAGCAGTCGCTCCCATTTCAGCTGGGCCTTAAAAATCCTGGCCCTTTTCTGGCACTTTGGCACTTGGCTCAGCAGCGGAGACGCTCCTGCCCCGCTTTATCCGCTGACAGCCCTTAGGGACCCCAGTGAGGAATTCTGAGCATTCATACACACATCTCCCCAGAAAGGGGAATTCTGTGTCTTTTGCTTTGCACGGACGTTCTCCTTTCTACTGGAGCGTTACAGTACAGAAGGACTGAGAAAACAGAAGGTGCGGCTGTCTAGGCTCTTGTGTCGTCGCCCTGCTTCCTCGTCCAGGCCCAGCCTGAGCTGGGTTTGAACAATTCTGTTTCAGGATTCCGGTTTTCACTTGTGGTGTGAGGCCCATTCCTGGACGTGGGTGTCAGTCTTGGGGGAGGAGCTAAGTGATGCAGGTGCTCAGGTGTGACCTGGTTCTTGGACTGATTGATAGGAAACTCATGGAAACCAGCTTCTAGTCTTGCTGTGATTACCAGACGCAGTCGTTATAAAGAGAGGATTTTTCCTGTCCTTTCCTAACATTCGAGGTTTCTGAGTTCATACTCTTGTGCCTATGGCATTAGTAAGGTGCTGGGCCTACTTTCCCTGTGACGTGTTGGGGAGATAAAGGGGCCTTGGGCGGGGTTGACTCGTAATTTCACTGCTGTGGTACGGGAAGGGGCCAGAGAGCTGAGCCGAGATGAACCTTGGTGTTTCTAGGCAGGCCTACCCCCCAGCGGGATTGTCAGCTCTCTGTTCCAGCAGAGGAAGGGTTTTACTTGGAATCTAATGTTTTAATTCCCTTAGAAATCTATCTTCAAAACAAATGTGTCTGTTTTAGTTTTAATTCAGCACTTCAATTGAATAAATGTTTCGCTTAACACCTACCTTGTGTATGCAGGGAGCCCTGCAAGGTGTAGCTAAAGCCGTGAGAAAACACACACACACACACACACACGGACACACACACACACGGACACACACACACGGACACATACACACGGACACATACCCCAGGCAGTGTAATGTGGACTTCTGGGATTGTGTCTTCTAGATCGTCTGTGTTCCGTATCAGTGGCGTGTCACGATGCTCATCATCATTCTTGTCAATGCGCTCGTCTCTGTCTTGGCAGAGGTAAGTAAGTCAGCTTTTCAGATGTCCCCTGAGTGCTTTGGGTTTGGTGCTGATTGATTTAGCCAGTGCTTGATAAACCAGGGCAGTAGAGAAGGAGAGGACCGGGGGACAGCAGAGGAAGCTCCATGTGGGATTTTTCAGATTTCTTTACCTCTTAGTTTCAGACTCTCTTCCCAGGAGGCCTTTTACGAAACCTGCTAGTGACCCTGTTGGCCAGGTGTGGCCCACCCCTCTCCCCACCAGCTCCTCCCGTCTCCTGCTCTCCCAGAGTTCCTCATAAGAAGCGAGAGCTCCCAAAGGTTGGAGCTGGGGGATGCCAAGTGCGTGGGCAGTTTCGGTAATCTAGAGTTGGCCATTTTTCTCTGGAAGTCAGTAGTTACACTTTTCTAAAGATCAGGAGAAAATGTTGCCAAAAGCAAGAAAATATAAATGAGGGTGTTTTTTGTTTAATCGTGTTTTTACAAAGTGGCTTTTTGGTCACTTTCCGCAGAGCCTAGTAGAGCACTGGTCTTCTCCCTCTTCCTGCTCATGATTTTCTGAGGTGTGGACGTTAAGTTCTCCTCTGGGGATGGGAGCAGAGGCTGCTGTGTTTCTGCTGAGTTTTGCACCAGACAGCGCACCTCATTTCTACAATAGCAACAGACAATTCAAAGTTGAGAGGCATGCCGTGGGAATGGATTTCAGTCTGTTCTTTCATGAACTGCTCTCAGAACATTGGGCAGCGTGTCCTGCACTCCTTCTACCCTCTGAGAAGATCGCGCCTTGCAGTCAGGGCCACCCTCAGCCGTGGGGCCGGGCAGAGTAGGCCTTTTGGGAAGCTTTGCTCATTTGTAGTTGGTGTGGGGTGGGGGCGTGGGTGTGATGACCCTGTCTGCCTCTTCAGTTGATAGCCGAGTGGATGTTTCTCTGCCCTTCTCAGGGTTTCTGGAAGAAGCAAAACCAGAAAAAGATAAACGTCCAAATCAGGGGTGTCACCCCCAATAGAAATAGGATCCCTATGGGCCACATGCTGACTTGGTTTTAAAATGTAATATTATCTGTGTTTTATTGTATTGTTAAGGATTTCCCAGTTTCATTGTAATCTGGTTCTGGCCACGAACCAGTGTTGGGGGCTGCCTCTTTGAGCCCTCTGTTTGAAATTGTGGTTTTTTTCTTTCCCCCCAGATTCTGTTTATTTCCTTGTGAAATTTAACAAAATGCTCAAGGGGTCCTTTCTGGTTGCTATTTTTTTTTAAAATTTCAGAGTAAAAAAGATATTCACGGTGAGGTATTGTAGAAAGAATGCTGGCTGAACTTGGAATCAGGAAAGGCCTGGATCCAAATTCCACCTCAGATGCTTAGATCTCTGGGCCCCTGGCTCATGACCTCACTTCTTAGCCTTCCTTATCCCATCTATAAAATGGACGCAGTCATGCCAGTATCACCCCACTCCCAGGTGGTTGTGATTATCAAGGGAGATCCTGTGCGTAAAGTACCTTACAAACCCTTGGCCTGTGTTGATGCCCATCCTGGGGCTTGGCCCAAGTGATGAAATCCAGCCCACAGCATCTCCCAGAGAGGGCCCAAGGCGCTGCGATGGTGGCCGTTCCCAGTCGAGCTCCCGAAGGGCGCCCTTAGCATTATTCTCGTTCTCTCCTGCTCTGCTACACTGTTGAGATTTGTGTCATGTGCACCTGACTAAGGAATGATTGCTAGTCCTTTTTCATTCTTCCACCCACCGGAATGTGTCTCAGAGCTTCCTCCTGGACACGGTCCTTTGGAAGGTTGTGTTCAATCGAGACAAACAAGGAGAATATCGCCTCAGCACCACACAGCTGCCACAGGTTGGGAATCGCTACTTACTGTCCAGGCTCTTGTGTGTCCTGTGCATTCTGGGTGGGGGGAGGGCAGGCGGGGGTGGGGTGGGGGTGGGGGGAATGGTCTTCCCTTCCGTCTGCCATCTTTCCTCTCCATTGTGATACCCACGACATGCATCAGTGTGTTTTGGCGTCCATGCGTCTCTTCTCCTTTCCAAACCTTAGTGTTTCTGTCAAGTTCTTAGTTTCAGTCTTAAGATTTATTTCTTGTGTTTTTCAGTTTTGTTTTAGTTTTGTTTGTTTGTTTGTTTTGAGAAATTGAAATTTGTTCCTCTGGTCTCTGATTCTGAGATCATGCTTCTTACAGTTTCTTTTCCTTGTGGCCTCAATTCTGTATCTAATACTCAGTAAGCAAAACCGTTCCCTTGGTGACGGAGATGTATGGAAATAGCTCTGGATAGCAAATAGTTCTCATTTTTCTTTATCTTAGGAGCCTTGAGAATCTAATGAAGTGATGCACTTGTCCCTGTTTATCTACCTCCTCATGGATAGCCTCATTTCACACATGATGGTGGTTTGGGGAGTATCAGTCCTAAACTGATCATTTTCTCCTAGAACTCCATTAACCTGTAGGGGAACTTTTAAATGTCCACATTCCTTCTGAACTATTGCAGATCCACCCCTCGCTCCATCCCAGGCCACCTGACCTGGGCTTCCTTTCCAGATTTCACGCTGCTTTACGGGGGGTCCAACTGGGCACCTTCCCCTTCCCCCCGCCGTCCTTTTTGAAGTGAGCTTTGTACCTCACCCACCTCGGTCCCCTTGCCCCAAATGGGCTTTGAAGAATCCACAGAGGCTAGTCGTTAGGTGTTTGAGATGAGGCTCCACGTCCCCAGACCTGGGAGCCGAATCCCTCTGCTCTCCAGCTTTGAGTTTTTGCCATGTTTTTCCTCCATGTCACTTTGTCAGAAGACTAATATGTTGATCCAAGCCTCGGCGGAAGCTCGCACACGGGTGCGCAAACACACACACACACACACACACACACGTACACACGTGCTCGAATACCACCACCACCAGTGAGGCTTTTTGACTAATTATTTTGACAGCAAACACACTGTCGCTTTTTGAAATGATTTTGTTTACTGTTTTCCCCAGTTTTATTGCTATCTGATTGGAATAACTTGATCCTTAAATGATTCTTTAAGAATTTATTAATTATTACCAATAATCTTTAATGATCTCTTTATCTAATCATGAATTGATTAACTGTTAGTTATTCATTCTTATCAATAGCATAGTATTTCCTTCATGGATAAAGAACAGAAATGTCAGGGCAGGGGTCCCATGGCATACAACCTGCTTGGTTCAGCCCTTACCTTAGAGTGCAAAGTGATTGTGAAGGCCACACAAGTGACCTTTGCCACCCACTTTTCTAAACTGCAGCCCAGGCTCTGATATTGAATGTGATGTCAAGTCTGTGGACGATGTGGAAACGGAACTTTGGTGTGTTAACACTTAAATGTGCACGTTCTTCTTATGGCCACACTTTGGTTTGGTTATCCTTGTGTGGCAAGCAGCTCCATGAGCCGGGCCAACTTGCAGGGGGAGGCTTCTTGGTAGCTCTTGGGCCTTTGTCCAGCCTAGCCTGCTGCCTCGATCCCAGCGAGTCTGGCTGGCTCTTCCTGGCCTTGCATCTGGAGATCAGCCTGGAGGGAGACGCCTCCCCGCCCATTGTTTCCATTTCACTTAGAGGAGCCAAGAGCTGGGATTCCTGGCCTGTGGAGGGCTGGGAGTTGGGGAGCCGCAGCCCCCAAGTGGAGAAGGCCCAGACACATTGTCTGGGGTTCCCCCTGCTGGCTGCTCGAAGATGTATAAATGCATCCACTGAACCTCCTGCATGCTGACATTCCAAAAGGGACCCAGGACCCACTTCTGAACTGTCCACCTTCATGTTCTCGGGATTCCCAAGGGGAGGCCAGTGAATGCTGTTTTTTAAGGGAGCTTCAGCGTTCACACAATGTCTATTTAAATTCTAGAAAACCGGATTTTTGCTCAGCCACATCCTAAATAATTTCAAATTGTGCCAGTGTGTTCTTGATGGTGCTTTGTCGCTGCTTCTGCGGATAGTTAGGTGGTGTTTGGCAAGCTACTCGACCCTTTGGGCCTCAGTTTCCTCATTTGCAGAATGAGCTTGCCCTTGAGGGGGATCCGATGATAAACTGAGCATTCGCTAACTCTGTGAAGACTGTCTCGCTGATTGGCAGCGCGTTAATACAGTTAATCCAACTCTCCACAGCGATGCTGTCAGGGAGAGACAACATTGTCGGTGGATTTGTGGTTGGCTTACACTTAATTCTGCAGCGTATGCTAATCAGAGTAGGAATCATCCACAGTTAGGGAGAGTTGGCAGTCAGAAAATAAAGACTCTTCCTGTTCCCTGCTTACACATGTTAATTTTGGGGGAGGATAACACTTTAAAAAATATTTAGTATTGATACAGAAGACTTGGAAAAAGCACAATAGCATTAAAATCCATTTCTAATGCGTGATCACGGCCGTGTAATCTCTGGTGCCACTCATAGGCTTCTGTTTCTAAAATGGTCATGGCTGAAGGTAGGGAGGTCTCTTGGGTCTGGAGGATAAAGGGGGAAGCCTCTGGCTCCATCAGCATCTGGCCAGCCTGCTCGTCTTTTGGACAGGCTGCTTTCTTGCCCTGGGGCTTTGAATGCTCTAGAAATGCCCTTGGGGACCTAGCTTGGGACCTCATGGCCATGGCGAGCCTTCTGCTTTCTTCCTTTGCAGTTATCACTCCACTCCTCCCCTTCCTTCTCTCGCTCCTTTGCCCTGTGTCTGTGAAGTGTTGCTGCTTTGTGATTTCTGTGTTTGCTTTGAGGCCGTAGCATAGAAGTCCCCCCCCCCCCCCTTTTTTTTGGTTGCTCCATTCTCTATGTGTGTGGTTTTTTTGGGAAGGTGAAGAGACCTTATATCAAACAATAGAAACAATTTACATTGGTTCTTGTACTTGTCTGATCATTCATTTTCAAATTATGCTTGAAATCCCAGCATGAGCCTTGTTTTTACCAATTAGAATTGCTTTAAGCTCCCTTTCAAAAAAGCAGTTTCCGTCAGTCCTAGCAGCCGGCACATTCAAACACCCAGAGAAGGCGTGCCTGCTCCTTTATCACAAATCTGTCCTCACGAAACCCCGCTGACAGTCGTCAGCCTTGGGTCTGGTTCCGCGTGGATTTGTCGATCTTGGCAATGATTTCTTAGCGCCTGCGGGATCCGTGATCTCTGCACGTTGAAAAGAGCAGATGTGGATGATTTCTTTGGTAGCTTTTACTCCTGATGACAGATTGTCCTTTTCAGCTCGTTGTCATATTGTAAAACTTGCTCATACAATCCCTTCTCCTCTTTGCTTGTTCCTCCTTGACTCCATCTTCCATTTCACCCCCCTAAAAAGTTTATCTGTGTAGAGGCTAGAGGTGAGTAACCCCCGCCCCCCCCAAACTGGTTCTAACACAAAACTTTAAAATGTGGGTTTGGTGTTATTGGGTTGGAAGTATGAATTCCCAAATCAAGAACAACCCACCAAAAAAAAAAAAAGAAAAAAAAAAAAAGAAAAACACAACACCGTCCAAACCCACGTCGGGGTCCTTTCTCCTCCCCAGTGTCACCCACTGTCAGTGTCATTATCATTCCTGACTTTTTCAATTATCCTGGTTCCCCAGAGTCAGTAGATTCAAAAGTGAGAGTTTGTGCGATTACAGTTAGCGTTTGATAGCCAGTCTTTCTCATTAGTAGGCCTTTTTTAGGCTAATCTATGTTGGAATTCATTTGGATTTCTTGAATAAATAACTAACAGACAGCTCTTGACAACCCTTGAAATGCCACATTACATGTTGGCCACAGATAAGTCTGTGTATAATGTTACCAGTGTCTCAAACTGTGCCTGTGACCTTTGACATCTGCCTCGAAGGCTCGAGCCTCCCTTTGGTGAGCCAGGCCTTCCCTGGTGCTTTTCTAGCCTTTTCCTCCAAAGGAAGGGGCTTGAATCTTCTGGGGCCAGTTGCTTGAAGCTTCACATTTATTAAGGCTACACTGACTATTTGGCACTTAGTACGTGCCACACAGTGAGGAGACAAGCAAAAAGAAGAGTCCTTTCTCTCTAGGAACTCACAGTCCAATGGAGGAGTCACTGTGGGAAAAAATTACATCCAGTTGTGGGCAAATGATATAGACCGGATGAATTGGGGAGGGCCCCCTTCCACATAGAATGATTCAGAGGAATGGCCCTGGTGAATCCCCTGTGCCCTCTGTCCCCTCCTGTGGACCCTTTGAGGGAGAAGTTAGCTCATCAGTCCTTTCTGTTGGGATTTTCCTAGGGGAAGACTTTGGTACTGTATCAGGAAGACAGATAGATATCCCACAGGGCCACTAATAAAAGGAAAGCGCCTCCTCCTCCTCATCTGCGCATTTCATGGAGTGCTGCCCCTTCTGATGGCCAGAGCTCTGACCAGCAGGGCTTCAAGGGAGCTTGAGGTCCAGAGGCACCTTAGAAATGCCAGTGATACAGGATTGTTTTCAGCCAGTTGGCAGAATATTAAGTATTTGGCAAAGGTACTTTTTGAGAAAGACAGGAATCATTTATGTCTTTACAAGGAATTTCTCTTACATAGAAAGGTGAGGAACACTCCCAGAGAACTCTTGAAGACAGAGGTCATTAAACCCATTCATCACCCTGACCATTCATTGCCAGCATCACCACCTTTTGGGGAGGGAGGGGAACAGACTGCCACCAATATGGAAAACCCATCCTCTCTCCCCAAGGCGTTGAGAGGAGACTCATTTTTCTGAAATGAGTTTTGGTCTTGGGGGCATTTTCTCTGCGTTTCTTGGTCACTCTCAGAGCTGAATGTGGCCCAGATGGAACACGTTAGCTGAGAAGATTTTAAAAGCTGGCGTTTTAACATTGTTCTTGTATGTTATTTTCTTCTTCTCTTTCTTAGGAGTCAGTGGACCGTTGGGGAAAGTGCTGCATATCGTCAGTGCTTGGCTGTAGGAAGAAGCTACCCAAGGCCAAGTACATGCACCTGGCCCAGGAGCTGCTGGTTGACCCCGAGTGGCCGCCAAAGCCCAGCACAACCACAGAAGCCAAAGCCTTAGTCAAGGAGAACGGATCCTGTCAGGTCATCACTGTCACGTAACAGTGACTCTCGGTGGCTTGCCCTAGAGCAGTGTTGGGGGGTGGGGGGGACTTCCTGGCAACATGTGCAGAACGTAGGCCCCTTGAGGTGATTCGATTAGAGCTTTGGTAAAGGTCGGGGGGTATCTAAGTCCTGTATTCTCAACCAGTGACTTTCAGTCAAGCTGGGGTGGGAGACACTGGCCTGATGATTAGACCTCGTCACACTCGCTGTCCCATCCTGGATGCTAAAGTGATGAGAGGGTGCCGCTGTCAGCGGGGAGGTGGGGAGTGGGGGGTTGTGCTGTTGCCGAGGCTGCCAGCCTACTCCTGACTCGGTGGGGCCTCTTGCAAAGTCGTGTCCACTTAAACCTTGGCCCACCTAGGAGGTGCCTCATTTTTTCTGCTCCCCGAGGCAGCCTCTACTTTAATGCTCCTCAGAGCTATTAGATTGATCTGGCCTCTGGCCTCTGCCCGCAGCAGCATCAGCCAGAGCAGCCGCCTCCACGCTTCCCCTCCCTGGCCCGTTTGAGCGAGCATTTGGTGTCAATAAGGCTTCCTTCTGCATCTTTCCTTCCTGTCTATCTATCTGTCAAAGGATGAGACAATGAGGACCTGAGACAATTTGGTCCTAATCTTTACTCCTAATGGCTGATGGGCTAAAAGCTCACCTGACCTGGCAGTTCTTGTAGCCACGTGCTTAGCAGCTGGCGTGTTGTGGCCATGAGGCGGCAGCAGTGGTCACGAAGGATGAGAGGGCTGGTGTGAGGGAGGGTGATCCCCCAGACGTGTCATGAGCCCAAGGAGCTCAGCTCTTAGGGTGCGAGGACGTTCTCGATGGAGCGTGTCGAGGCCCCTGGATCGGGCAGGTGAGGGCAGCCACGAATCCAGCTCATGTGTGGCTTTCCGCCTAGTCAGGTCCCTCTTCTCCTTGAGACAGCAGAGCCAGGTGTTCTCATTCCACCCTCTCCTTTGGGTGACGTCGATGAAGGAGAGAAGGTGGTAAAGCCCACCCGGGCCCTCTGTTGCTGACATGACCACTGATGAGGCTTTCTGTAGAAGAGATAATGGGACAGGAATACGCTTCTGATTACTTTTTTTAAGATTTGTTCCATGGAGTGATTCTGCGAAGCTATCTATGCATCTTAGACCTTTGGAGCTGTGATTTCGCACGGGTTGTTTTCATTTCCCATTGTCTTAATCCTTTCTTCACTTGTAGTAGGTGCCCACATGCCCGGGCACCCCTAAAGAACAGGCCCTGACGCTTTTCCAAATCCTTCTTTTATTTTGGGGTTCATGTGCTGCAGTGTTTAATTACACAGGGATGGCTCTGAAGCAGCAGGAAAGTGCTGATCGCCTAACCCCACCAAGCACCTTTGAACGTGAGTGTGTATTGGCTGTTTTGAAGTCCCCTTTTCTAATATCCTGGGGCTCAGGAGGTTTGTTGTTGCATCTGCCCATGTTGTTTTTACAGGAAGACGTAGTTTGTAGCTCTGTGGAAGAAGCTTTGGAGGAGGTTAGCTCTGACCAGTGGATGTGTGGTGGTTCGTAGGCTGTAACTGGTGGCTTCCAGAATGTGGAAAAGTGTTTGCTGTGATTTCAGGTGGGCCCTGCTATGTGCCCTCGATAGAGATGTCCTTTCTACTGTGTGGGTCGCCATTACATAGAAATTTTGATTCTGAGTTTCATATTAAATTATTTGAGTGTATACATACCTAAAATTTTAAATCTGTACATGTCTTATTTTGATGTAATAAGATTTTATAAATATTGTGGATTTAAATTTTATTTATGCACATACTGAAGGGACTGGGATGTCCAAGAAAGTAGTTGTTAAATAATGATATGTAACTTTTTTTACTTTTTTAATAAATAACCAGATTTTTAAAGTGTGTCCCTCAGGGTTGTTGAAAGGTTCCTTACCCCTCTTGCCCTTTTCCCCTCCCTCCCAAGTAGAACTAATGATAACTGTATGTTTTCTATTCTCAACTACTGTCTGCTGCGAAAACAATGCTGCAAATAACGTTGGAATCAAAGTGGCCAAGCCAAGGACAAAGGCAGTGATGCTTTTCATGTTCTCTTTTAAATCCTTCACTTAGAACACTCTTCCCAAGACCCTCTGATTGGAGCAAAAGCGTTCCCGTTTTCATTCTGTTTAGTTTTATTTGTTTTCCCTTATTTATAGAAAGCTCTGAATCGTTAAAGCATGGTAAATAATAATTTAATTCGTTTGTACGCTACCTTCCCCAAGCCATCATTAGACGCAGTGTCCAGACAGGATTAGAATTCAGACTTTGGAAGAACACTCTAGGATTTTTGTGCATGCACTGTTGACGTTGTAACCTAGATTTTGTATATTTTGGGGGGGAGGGAGGGTGGTTTTGAACACTTTTTAAAATTCTGGATGTTAATTTTGTACAGTTTATGGGCATTTACAACTATTTTTAATGTACTAGAATTTGATAATTATGTGCACATGAAATTAATAGAAATAAAGTTATTTCCTGTTAGATTACAGAATTCCCTGAAAACTTGGCTTAAACAAGAAAGTTGGTTTATATCAGAGAAATGATACTGCATCTTTATATTTTAAAATATGTATTGCTGCTCTAGAATGGTACCCTGTTGTCAAAAAGGCATACATACAGAATTGTAAATAGCCTGCTGAGATCTTTGGATTAAAGCAATTCAAAATTTAAAAAACTGAAGCAAATAAAATATATTTTCTTTTTTTTTTTTCTGTGATTGTGAGTTTGTCTGTGAGTTGTTTGAATTCCAGTTGTTAGGGATGCTTCGCTTTTCTGAGGCACCAGGTACCCGGATTTATGGAGAGCAGGCATGTGCCATTCTTTGACTTTGTTTTCTAATGAACAGAACTCCGTTTTCTTTCCCTCCCACTTCCACCTCCATTGAGGGAAGGAACACAGAACAAAACTTTTGCAAGAAGCCCATAGTTAAGCAAAATCAGCTTCTGCATTGACCATATCCAAAAAGTATTTCTCAACCCGTATCCTGAATCAATTGCCCGTTGCTCATTGTGTTGTCTTTCAGAATTGTTTGTCCTTACGAGATTGTTGATAGTATATAAAAGGTTTTCCTGGTTCTGCTCACTCGACTGCAACAGTTCACTTAAGTCTTCCCAGGTTTCTCTGAATCATTTCATTTTTTTTTTTTTAAAGATTTCTTCACATACTTTAATCAAAATAACATGTCATAACAAATTGTCTACAGAAACAGATAGGAGTATCCAGCAATCTTCCATTAAGCCAGATGTTAAAGAGACTGGCCAAAAAAAATACGTAAAACAATGCTGTTCTTTTCCCCAATTGGCAAAAATATGTTATTTATGTGAACATATAATGGGTTTCTTCTTAAATCGTTTAAAAATGTATTCATTATAATTTCTAATACCGTAAATATTGATAGATGTAAACCACATGAGGACAAATTTTAAGAATATAAAAGGCTCCTGAGAGTGAACATTTGAGAGCTGCTAGTTTGGTGGACGGAAGACTGGCCTGTAAGCTGAGGAAGACACAGGCTCCAGCCCCTGTTCCGATATATCCTCAGTGTTCTAGGCAGGGGCAGAAAAGGTCCCAACCTCTATTAGGAGAGGGAATTTCCTTACCTGAGAATTCTCTGTGGTCATGAATTCACAGGTATAGTCCCTATCCCTATCTTTGGTATCATTTTATTTCTTAGAGCATGTTAACATACCCTCACTGTTCAGCCATTCCCCAACTGATAACCCTGCCTCTCCAGTTTTTTGCCACCATGAAAAGACCTGCTACGGATATTTGTGTACACATGGGTCCTTTTTCCTCTTTCTCTGATCTCTTTGGGGCAGAGAGCTAATAGTGGCATTGCTGGGTCAGTTCAGTGACCTTTTAGGCAAAGTTTCTGCTTTCCAAAGTGGGGGGAATGCTTCCCAGCTCCATCAGCAGTGCGTCCATGTGCCTACTTCCCCACCACCCATCCGACTCTAGCATTTTCCTTTTTTTGTCAGCTTTGCCAATTTGAGATTTAACAACTTCTTCCTGACCAACAGAGGGCTGTTTTTTCAGTGATTAAGTCATTGTTCTATTCCAGATTATTTTCATATATTATTGTTGAGTTATTGAGTGCCTTTCTATTATCTCTATTACTCTTCTGACTTCGATGAAGTCACATGAGGGGCATGCTGATGATGTAGCTGAGAGGCCCGGCTAGCGATGGATTACAGAGTGAAACAAGGAAAGTTCTTCACAGGCCAGGACAATGGCGTGGATGTAGTAAGACAAAATTGACAGGAAATGTCTGATAGTGAGCCTGTCTGATCGTGTATGGGACGTTCAGCCCTTCCTCTTCCCCAGCCTCTGCTGAGTTTCGGAATCTGTTGCTAACGTGGCTGCTTTTTGGGTTAGCCCTTTTTTCATTGATGTGCCCCAAGACACGTGGCAGTTTTGCTGCTTATTCTGTACGAACCTTCCTCTGCTTTTCAGATTCTTTATGTTTGTCCTCGTACTGTATGGTGCCGTTTTGTTGTATCTACACACAGGTCAGCCATTCTTCTGTAAGCACATCTGGAATTATGAGGTCAGGGTTCAGGGATGGTGGGCCTCCCATCCTTGATGGAAAAAAGCTGTTAAAATGGTTGTCTAAAAGGCATTTCCATTTGTTGTCCTTCCGATTTCATCCATGAGTATCATTGGATTGACTTGACTTGGTTGAGTATCTTAAGGCAAGCTTTCTTTCTTTTCTTTCTTTTTTTTCTGAGCTTTTGTTAAACTGGATTTTACCTATCAGTCATTTCTCTCTGCTTAATGACTTGATGCCACTTATCACCAGCCACCGTATTCTAGCCTGGTATCTCCATTTGGTCAGTAAGTCAGATGATTGCTTGCTAAAGTGCTTTCTAGGCTCCTCAGTGTCTGCTGTGAAAATTAATTTACATAATAAAATTCCTGATGAGACTGTAATTGGTGTTGATGTTATTTCTATCATCCATTCCCATTTCTGATTTTCAGTTAGTTAATTCAGGGCTGTCATTTCACTGTGGCACTACATCTTTTTCTCATACTTCTGATTTTTTCTCCAATGAGTTGATATGATTATACAGAAGGTAGGACCAATTCACATCAAAAACAAGTTTTCCTCTGCCTTAAAATGTAATTTTTTTCTTCATATTATTTTATACTTTACCAATTTTCAAGAAAGCTCATGAAATAGAAACATGGAGTTTCTCTCTAATCTTACTAATCTTTAGCCTCTCATTCATTATTTGCGAACCTTCCTTCTCCCTGTTTTTCTCCATGTTCTTTTGAAGTCACCCCTACCCTCAGATGAGAAGGCGTGGGAATGTTTGAGAGCAGTGGAAAAGAACCAATTGGTAAGGAGGCATTGAAGATTCATGGAGGGGGAGGGATGACTAAAGAAGATGGGAGGGTTTGAAATTTAAAAAAAAAACCAAAACATAGACAGGGGTTTGCTTTGCCTCATTGTCAGGGACCAAAGAAAAGAGAGAGAGTGGGAGGTGATGTCAGGGGATTTGAGATGAAAAGATGGGAGAAAAAGGACCTTCCACAGTAAACTAAGAAGTCAGGTCCTCAACCGAGAGAGGGGATGGAGAAGGTGTTGGAGGCTCGGGGGGGTAAGAGAATGTTTGGAAGAACCTCCATGAGGTGTGGGGCGATAATCAGAGAGGAATGAAAGGGGCGCCCTCACTGCTTTGGGGACCCAGTTGGGGTGGGATGCCATGGATTGTAATGGACACAGTCAGCTTGGTTGTGAGACTTCCTCTGGCTTCCTGAGTGGAGGAGGCAGGTGATAGAAGTAGTGTGAGGCAGAGGTCTTGTAGAGGAGAGTGGTCATTGGCCTGACTTCACCAGGGCTGGTGGGAACTGGCTCCCTCATTTCCCCCAGAATTGTTCCCCTTCTTCCCTCCTTCCCTTCCATTGGTCCCTCTCATCCTTCCTCCAGATGCAGGTTTAATTTCTGTCCATTTATTTAACTTACCTGGTAAAAAAAGAAGAAAAGGGACAGTAGGACCATAGGGGACCAAGGATTCAAGAGCAGTGTCGAGCTGAAATGGCTGAGGTTGGAGTCAGGGCAGGGGCAACGGTCTGAGAAAGCATATCCAGAGATAGCCGGACAGAGCAGAGGACAGGCATGGGAATTAAGGGGGATGAGGGACAGCTTCTTGCAGAAGGTGGGATTTTAGCTGGGACCTGAAGGGAGCCAGGAGAGCCAGGAGGTAGAGATGGGGAGGGAGGGCATTCCAGGCAGGGGCCACTGCCTGGGAGCCAGGGAAAATGCCTGGAAGAGGGAGGTGGAGTATTTTGATCCAGTTCCCTTGCGTTGAAGAATTACGCTCCAGGAATTATAATGAAGGAACACAATTACAAAAACACTTCACACAAATAAAGTCAGATCTAGACAACTGGAAAAACATCAGTTGCTCATGGGTAGGCTGAGCTAATACAATAAAAATGACAATTTTATCTAAATTGATTTACTTATTCACTGCCATACCAATCAAACTACCAAAAATGATTTTATAGAGCTAGAAAGAATAACAATTCATCTGAAAGAACGAAAGGTCCAGAATATGGAGGGGATTAATGAAAAGAAATGCAAAGGAAGGTGCCCTAGCCATACTCGATCTAAAATTATAAAGTAGCAATCGTCAGAATTACTTGGGCCTGCTAAGAAGTAGGGTGGTTGGTCAGTGGAGTAGGTTAGGTGCACAGGACACAGTAGTCAATGACTACAGTAATCTACTGTTTGATAAACCCGAAGACTCCAGCTTCTGGGATAAGAACTCTATTTGACGAAAACTGCTGGGAAAACTAGAAAATAGTATGGCAGAAACTGAGCATAGACCAAAATCTCACACCATATACCAAGATAAGGGGGCAGCTAGGTGGCACAATGGATAGAGCTCAGGCCCTGGAGTCAGGAGGACCCGAGTTCAAATCCTGTCTCAGACATATAACACTCACTAGCTGGGTGACTCTGGGCAAGTCCCTTAAATCCAATTGCTTCACCAAGCAAACAAACATATACTAAGAAAAGGTCAAAATGGATACATGATTTAGACATAAAGGAAATTAGAGCAATGAATAGCTGATCTGTGAGATCTATGGAGAAGGGGAGAATTTACAATTAAATATACGATTATAGAGAACATTATGAAAAGCACAATGGATAATTTTGATTACATTAAATTAAGGTTTTGCACAAACAAAGCCAATGCAACCAAGATTAGAAGGGAAGCAGAAAGCTGGAAAACCATTTACAGCCAGTGTTTCTGGTAAAGGCCTCATTTCTCACATATATAGAGAGCTTTGTCAAATTTAAAAGAATTCAAGTCCTTCCCTAATTGATGAATGGTTAAAGGATATGAACAGGCAGTTTTCAAATGAAGAAATTAAACCTATCTATAGTCATAGAAAAAATGCTCTAAATTGCTATTGATTAGAGAAATGCAAATTAAAACAACTCTGAGGTACCACCTTGTACCTGTCAAATTGGCTGATATGACAAACGGAAAATGATAAATGCTGGAGAAGATGTGGGAAAATTGGGACAGTAATGTTGTAGTGGAGTTGTGAACTGATCCAACCATTCTAGAGAGCAATTTTGAAATATGCCCAAAGGGCTATAAAACTGCATATTCTTTGATCCAGTAATACCACTACTAGGTCTGGATCCCAAAGAGATCATTAAAAAGAGAAAAGGACCTGCACGCACAAA